AAAGATACTAGTATAGTACTGTAAATATAAAACAGTATTTATAAAAAAAAAAGCTGTAAGCTTATTTATATAAAAACTAAAAATAAATTTAAAAATTAATTTTTATAAAAAATTTTCGCCAAAGCTGGAATAAGTATATAAAATATTATTTATAAAAAAAAATATAAAACTACTTATAAAAGATACTTATAAAAGGATAGATCTGGTATTTTAAATTATTAGTAAATATACTAGTTTTATTTATAAATAAAAAAAATAAAAATCTATAAATATATATAGACTATTATAAATTAAATAAATAAATAGTAAAAAATATTTATTTACTATTATAAATTAATAAATATATTAACTAATTTACAGAGGCTTTTTAGTTTATATAGCTAAATTTATATAAAATCTACTATAGAATTAAAATTATAAAAAAGTATAAATAAAAAATAGTATTTTAAATAAAGTATAAACTGTTTAAGTATCTAGTTATATTATTTAAATTAACTAATATATTTATAAAATTCTATATTTATAGAATATCTAGATAATTTTGTAATTATCTATTTAAATAATATTATAATATATTTATAAAATTTAAAAATATATAAGATATAGATCTGTAAGATATTAAAAATACTATAAAATATAAAATTATATATAAAACTAAGTAAATACTACTTTATAATAATAAAAATTAACTTTTTAAAGTTTCTAATCAGCTGTAAAAATATTTATATAAAACTAGAATATATTATAACTATTTATAATTAGTCTAAGCTATAAAATATAAAAAATATACTAAAGTTTATAAACTTTATAAATTAGTATAAATATTTTATTAAAAAATATTTATAAATTATAGTACTAATTATAGACTTTACTAAAACACCTTATAAAAAAAAAAAACTAGATATAATTTTTTAATATTAAAAGTTTATAAAAGCTTTTAAAAGCTAAAAAATATATTTATAAAAAATATAATTATAGTATATTTTAAAAAAAAAATTTTTTATAAATTAAAATAGATATTTTAGCTCTTATAATTAGTAGAATACTATTATAAAAAAATTAAAAAGGCTAATAAAAATTAGTAGTATTTTATTTATTAAAAATAATTTCTACAAAGCAGAACTACAGTATTTATAATTAAAAGCTTTTTATAATTATAAAATTATTTAAAAAGTAGTAATACTAGTTTAAAAATATAAAATACCCAATAAAAATAGTTATAAACTATAAAAGTCTTAAATACTTTATAACTAATAAAAAATTATTATAAAAATAGATTAAATAAGTATAATATTTTATAGTATTTAAATTTTTTTTAATATATAAACTGGATTTATAGAATCTAGCAGATATTTTATTATAATAATTTAACTATAAAAAAAAGGCTATAAAAAAAAACTATAAAAAACTTAGAAAAATAATACTATAGTAGTTAAATAATTTTTTAAATTTAAAAAAAAGTATAGTTATTTTTATAAGGGTTAAAATATTATTAGTAAAAAATACTACAGCAGATCTAAACTAGCTAGAATTTTATATAAAAATAATAAAAATAACTATAGATAAAAATATATACTGTAAAAATTTATTTATTAATTTTATATAAAAACTACCCCAGCTGCTGTAAAAAAATAATTTTATAAAAAAAGTATTTTAAATAAAATAAAAAAAAAACTATAGGAATAGTTTATTTTATAGTAGAAAATATTTATAAAAAAAAATTATTTATAATAAAATATTAGTTAAAAATTACTTTACTTTATAAAAAAGTAATATATTCTAAATAACTACCAGCTAAAACTAAAGATTTTTATAAAACTATATAATAATTTTATTATTAAATATTTTATAAAAGTAAAAATTTAAAAGTTAATTTTATAAAAATTTTAGTAGCTAAAACTAGTTAAATTTATATAAAACTAGTACTATATATATAAAGTATATTAAAGTAGATAAATAATTTATAAAAAATAATAAAAGCTATTAAAACTACTATTATTTATTATAAAATTTTAAAAAAAAGTAATTATAAATTTTATTATAAATTTATTTATAAGTATTTATAAAGGCAAAAACTTATAAAAGATTTATAATAATATTATAATTATAGTAGATTAGTTTAGTAAAATAGTTTACTTTATTTTAATTTATAAAATACTATTAAAAAAAAAAACTTATAATAATTTTTTTTAAAAAAAATTTTCAGCTGTATAAAATATTTAGAAAAGTAATTATAAATTATAAACTAGTTTTTATAAAAATTTTTTAGTTAAACTTTATTTATATTTTTATAATTAAATAAAATATAAGTACAGCCTATTATCTATAAATAAATAATTAAATAAAAAGAATAAATAGTATATTAAAATAATATCTACAAAACTATATTAATTTTAAATAAAATAATTAAATAAAAATACTACTATTTATAAAATTTATTTATAATAATTTTTTATAAATATTAATTAAATATTTTTTATTTTTTATAATAACTGTATAATACCTGTAGATAATAGTACTTAATTTATAAGTACTAAATAATTTTATAAAAAAATTAAAATAATATTTTTAAAAAATTAAAAAAGTAAAAAAAAATAGCTGTAAATTTTAAGCAGATTTACAGGTACTAAAAGAATTTTTATAATAAAAATTATAAAACTACTATTTTTACAGTAGACTAGAAAGCTTAGCTTTTTATAAAAAATTTACTATAAAAAAAATTAAATAAAAAACTAGACTAGTTTTATTATAAATTATTTTATATAATTAAAAAAATAGATAAATAGGCCTATAAACTAGAATTATTTATAAATTTTTAGATTTATAATATTTTTTATATATTTTTATTCTATAAATATTATATAATAAAAGGGGTAGACTTGTAAGGGTATTTTTTATAAAAAAATAAAAATCTAAATAATTATAAATATTATTTAAAAGTATTATTAAATTTGTAATACTGTAAAAAAATAATAAAAATTTTAGTTAAATAAAAAAAATACTATAATAAAAAAAAATTAAAAATCTACTGTAAATTTATATTATTTACAGATTTATAAAAAATTTGCCTTATAAAAGTATAAAAAATTTAATTAAATAATTAAAAAAAAATTAAATTAAATATAGACTATAAACTATTTATAACTATATATTTTATACAACTAATATAAACTATAGTATTTATTTATAGTAGTTAAAAGCTAAAATATATAAAAATATACTATTATTTTATAAAAAAATAGTATTTATTATTTATATATAAACAGTTGTTATATTTTTAGCTAATTTTTCTACTAATATAGTTATAAAAAACTTTTTTAAAAAAAATTATAATAGTATTTATATATCTAATTAAACAGCAGCTGCCAGTTAGTTTAAATTATAAAAATATTTTTATAAAGCTGTATTTAAATAGTCAGCTGTTTAAAATTTAATTATTTAATATATAATATAAACTATATAATAAATTTATAAATCTAAATCTGCTTATAATTTAATAGGGGCTGTAAATCTATTTTAAAAAAAAAAATTAAGTACTATAGTAGATATTATTTTTAAATAATTTTAAAACTAAACTATAAAAGATAATTTAATAAAAAGTAAAATATTTTATTTTTTATTATTAATCTATTTATAAAAAGCCGGCTAATTTTAATTAACCCTAAATATATTTATAAAAAATAAAAAAAATTTAAAAAATATAAAAATAAAAGCTGTAGGGGCTGCTATAATATTTATTATTATAAACTAAAAAATCTTATTTTTTTTATATATAAATAGTAGTATATAAAAAAAAAACAGCAGCAGCAGCAGCAGTAAAATTTATAATAAAATTAAAAACTAAAATAAAAACTAAAATAATAATAATAGTAGATATAATAAAAATAAATATATTTATAATAGTAGTAGTAATAGGCCCAGTAGCAGCAGCAGTAATAAAAGTATTTTTTTTTATAATAAAAAAAAATAAAATATATTATAAATAGTTAGCTAAGTCTAAACCTGTTTTATAAATAATTTATATAAAAAAAATAAAATAAAATAGGCTAATAGGGTCTATAAATATAAAGCTTAAATAATATACTATAAAAAAAATTAGTTAACTTTTATAAAAAAAAAAAAACTGGGCTAAGCTTTTATAAAAGAAATTAATAAAATATTTTAAATACTACTGTAGAAAAAAAAATTAGCTAAATATTAATTTATAAAAACATCTAGAAAAAAAATACTATATAAAAAAATTTACTAAAAAAAAAAAAAAAAGAGTTGCAGAAAAAAAAAGGCCGGAGATTTAAAAAAAAAAGTTTTTTTATATAAAAAAAAATTTTATTTTTATAAGATTAGCTCTGCTAGTTTTAACTATAAAATATTTTAAATAGCCAGAATAGGTAAATTAAAAAAAATTTAATACTATTTACTAAAAAAAAGTTTTTTTAATTATAAAAAAGATTATTTATAGACTATTATAAAAAAATCAGCTAATAAATAGTAGATTATATACTAGTAAAAAAGTTTTATAAAAATAGTAGTAAAAGTAGTATAGTATACTTTTTATAAAAATATAAAATAATAAGCTATTTTTTCTACTACTTTAGTTTTTTATAAAAATATTTATAAAGTAGAGGTTTTAATAGTACTACTATAAAAAGTAATACTTTTTTATAAAAAAAAAAGTAGTTATAAAAGTCTAAACAGCTTTTCTAATCTTTATAAATATCTATAAAAAAATATATATAGATAATTTAAAATAGTAGTTATATAACAGCTAAGCAAGCCGGCTGCAGCCGCCTCTAAAAGCAGCAGCTGTTTTATAAGTTAAATAAGGCAGTAATAACATCTTAAAGTAATATATTAGCACCCTTGGCTTCGCGAAAGCTATTTATTCATCATGCTATTTCACCCTTAGCCCTTATACTGGGTATACCCTTTGCGGATGCACTGTACTGTACACAAGCAACCATGAAATTGAAAATAACTTCAAATACGCATCTAAGTATCTAGGACACAAACGGCTATGCAACAGGCACAGGAATTTCCTCCCATCCGTCCTCCCCAGGCTGACGATGCTCCCGGATGAGCTGTAACCCCCGTTTCCCACCAAACCCATCACCACAGAAACCATCGTTATCGGCCACCCGCTCGACCGTCTGGTAGGATCCCCCGTTGGAATGCCTTGCATCCGGCACCCACACCCTCTCGCGCACCACCTCCCCAGCGATTTGTGTCCTCCGCGGATTGAACCGTGGAAACCCGGCCACGCGGCTCACGATCCCGTGCACCAGCGCGTAGAGCCGCTCGAAACGTCGCGTCGTGCGCAGCCACCGGAAGCTCCGCTCCGTGTACGCCGTCCGCACATAGGGATTCATATACACCCCGGAGTCAGTGCGGTCATCCACATTTGCTCCTGCTGGGGGATCCTGCAAGTCCGCATGAATGATGCAGCACTCGGACCCGTCGTAGAACAAGTCACGGTCCGCACGGAAGCGCACCGGACGGTCCGGGCGCTGGAAGTACGTCGAGTTGAAGGCGACCATGCCGCCCCAGCAGCTGCGCACGCGCACCGCGTCCTTCTGCGCCAGCACGTCCTGCCGACTGCGGGCGTGGCCAGCCGTGCTGAACCACGGGTAGAACTGCAGGCCGATCCCGTAGCCCTCCAGATCGCGCGTGGCGTAGGTGTCGTAGAACTTGAACGGGTTGATGAAGTCCACGGCGCACGCGGCGCGGTACCGGGCCACCCCGTCGGGTGCATCCGCGGCATTTGTCGAGAAGAGGAGTTGCACGGCGTCGATGGGGTCGAAGATCACGTCGTTGAGGTACAGGATGCGATCGTAGGACTGGGCCGCGGGATCGTCGAGCGGTCGCAGGGCGCGGTTGCGCAGCTCCGCCAGGTAGTCGGTACGCTTGACGCGTTGGGCCCCCCCTGGGACGGTGACCCGTGGAAAAGTGCTCAGGTCGAGGCGGAGGTCGGACTGGATGGATTTGTTGCATGCGACGCGGTCCTCCAGCTGACGGAGGGCTTGTTCGCCCTGCTCATCGCTGTCGTTTTCGTAGATGCTGAGAAACACGTTGTCTTCGCCAAGGAGATCGACCAGCTGCAGCAGGGACTCGCCCCATCTGCCGCCTGTGATTGTGCCCTCGGGGTCGTAGAGAATGGCTGCGATGAAGATGCGCTCGTTGCGCGGGTTGGCGCGGCCATGCTGGTCGGACTGCGTGGCTCGCTCGACCACCGATTGGTGATGGGGCGGCAGTCGCGTGTAGGAGGGGAAGAAGAGGGCGGTGCAGCTGATCAAGACGACGAGGAAGCTCAATCCGATGCGAAGTAGTTGTCGGATGGGGGACCAGCGAGGTGAAGCAAAGCGACGTGGTCTCGGACGCTGGGGTTGCCAAGTAGGAGTGGATCTCCACAGCCTGCGCCAGAAGGACCGGTGCGATCGACTGCTGGGCAGAACCAGGCCAGCTTGCTCCCAGTCAGAGACTGATGCAAATGAGTCGATGGACGAGCGACTGGTGAGGTCGTGATACTCAACTGACTGCCCTCTGGGAGGTGGCATCGTGGGTGCTGGATGGGTACTTCTTGGAATCAGTCTGGCATTGTGTGTGTGTGTGTGTGTGTGTGTGTGTGTATGTATGTATGTAGATAGGGTAAGTCGGCCTGGATTCTGGCCCGGTGGAGAGGAGAGTGACGCGTGGACAAAGTGCGTGGGCTTAAGCAATCCTAGGCAGCCGTCAAAACACAGCCCGGCATGGCACATTCACTCACGGGATAGGCTCGGAATCTTCCGAGCAGTGTGACGTTAGAGTCAGGATTCAAGTCTTTAGGTAAGTTGCTGGATGAAACAGCATGCAGCATGCAGCCTGCAATTGCCGCCGCCAGACGGGTCTCATCCATGACACCCAGCAAGGCAGCCACGCGTTGCCGTGGCGATTGTGTGACCTGCATGCAACAGAAAAATTTGATTCAACTTGCGATGGGGATAACTTGAGCAATCGACTACACAAAGAACAGGAAAGCAATATAATGCTCGTCAACCTTGCACTCTCGTTACTGGCGCTGATGTTCCCTTCGGGGACGGATTCTCCCCATCGCGTGCGGTATTTCTATGCCGGGGGCGAGTACACTCCCCTGCCAGCCACCGGCGAGCACATTCGCACTGGCCAGATCTATGTGGAGAAACTGACCCCCACGCGAGTCACTCAACCCTACCCCATTGTCTTGATCCATGGACAAGCCCAGACTGGAACCAACTGGCTGAATAAACCGGATGGTCAGCCGGGATGGGCCTCCTACTTCCTGGCCCAGGGCTACGAATGCTACCTCCTTGACCAACCCTTCCGCGGTCGCAGTCCCTGGCAATGGTGGAATGGAGAGCTGGAGACGTATTCGGCGGAGCATCTGCAGCGATACTTCACGGCTCCGGAGCAGTATGAGCTATGGCCGCAGGCCAAGCTGCACACCCAGTGGCCGGGCTCCGGGGTGATGCACGACCCGATTTTCGACGAGTATTATGCCAGCACCGTACCCTTCGTGAGCGACAACGTCCCCCAAGAGACCGCCATGCAGAAAGCGGGCGTCGCGCTGCTCGACAGGATCGGCACGCCGGTGATCCTTCTGGCACACTCCCAGGGCGGCATCATGGCCTGGTTGTTAGCCGATCAGCGCCCGGATCTCGTGCAATTGATCGTCTCCCTCGAACCAGGCGGTCCTCCGTTTCGCAACGCGGCCTTTGGCAACGGGACCACCCGGGCATATGGATTGACGGACATCCCCATCGCCTACACGCCTGCAGTGGTCGATCCCGCAACCGACTTGGTGACGACGACCATCCCCGCCACCCACCCGGATGAGGTGGGCTGTGTGATACAAGCGGAAAGCCCGCCTGCGCGTCAGCTGGCGAATTTGCAACAAACGCCCGTGGTGCTGGTCACCTCCGAGGCATCGTATCATGCGCCGTACGACTGGTGCACCGTCCATTTTCTGCGCCAAGCGGGGGTGAGCACCGAGCATGTGCGGTTGGCGGACTGGGGTCTTCGTGGGAATGGCCATATGATGTTCTTAGAGAAGAATAGTGATGACGTTGCAGCGCTGGTGCACGAAAGAATCCAAAGGTTCAGTTGAGTGGCAAGCAGTGAGGGTCACTCGTTAGGAATTGTTTGCGGATGCCTGAGGCAGAGACTTTCCGTTCTCGATCAGCAACGGTCATGTGCGCTTGAATAGAATGCCTTACCGCCACTGTCTTGCCGCCGTAATGTCCTGATGTCTCAAGTCCCGTGAATGTCTTCTGCTCTTCTGCTCTTCGGCTAATCTTCGGCAGGACCCAGGGTAGTTTTGACAGCTTGTCAAGAGAGACAGACTGCACTGCTGCGTAGATTGCCGGATCTGGAAATATCATCAACTTCCCCGCATCCCCAAGCCACCAAGTCACCCATAGATAGTAATATGATTATAAGCCATTGTCTACCAACATTTCAGTTATGCTTCATCCCTTAACCTTCCCACACCTTGCCTCCCAACATATCAAAGAACCAGCATAATGCGACCGCAAGCAGACCAGGAAATGATCGACCTCTCGCAACAGCAGCCAGAATCAGCCGAGCCACCCGAGCCAAGCATTGCTGACACACGATGGCTGGATGTCAAAATCCTCAGTGCTGGCTTCTCCTTCTTTGTTGCCGGGGTCAATGATGGGAGCTTGGGCTCATTGATACCCTATGTGATTCGCTCATACCATGTGAGCACCAACCTTGTCGTCGTGGTCTACGTATCAACTTTCGCGGGATGGCTGGTGGCCGCCGTGACCAACAGCGCCCTCTGCCAATATCTCGGCCTCGGAGCCATTCTTGCCCTAGGCGCAGCCCTTCAGGTACTCTCCCACGCCCTCCGAGCATGGCTGCCCCCATTTCCGCTTTATGTTGTTACCTTCTTTCTCGCCAGTCTAGGGCAAGCGTACAATGACACCCACGCCAATACCTATGTTGCTTCCGTCAAGGCCGCCCATCGCTGGTTGGGGTTTATCCATGCCATGTATATGGCAGGGTGCTTGGTCGGTCCGTTGGTGGCCACGGCGGTGGCATCGGCGGGAACAACCACCCAGTGGAATCTGTTCTATCTGGCGCCCCTGGGCTTGGGGGTTCTGAATCTGGTATTCGTGATGACGGCGTTTCACGATCAGCTCACGACCAGGTCCGCTACTTTCGATCCTTCACCAGAGAGGCCGCAAGAAGATGCTCATCCCGACTCCAAGAGCCACCGTGCTCTGGTTGAGATCAAGAACACTCTGTGCGTGCCCACGGTCTGGCTTGCCAGTCTGTACTTCTTTTTCTTTCTCGGGGCGGCCATTACCGCGGGAGGTCAGTAGCTTTCAACTCTGAATATTCCATTACCGAACCAAAAACTAATCATAAAAGAAAAGGCTGGATGGTTGAGTATCTTGTCAACGTGCGGCACGGCAATCTGGATGCAATGGGATATGTGCCCACCGGATTCTACGGAGGCGCCTTCCTGGGCAGGCTGCTCCTGGCTGAGCCTACCTTCCGGCTGGGAGAACGGCGGATGATCTTCCTTTATGCCGTACTGTGTGTGGGACTGCAACTAGTCTTCTGGCTGTAGGTATCCCTCCGCTCCTCATGAATACAAAATATACAACTAATGCATCACGTGCAGGGTCCCGAACATCATTGTCGAGGCCGTGGCCATCTGCATTCTGGGTTTCTTTTCTGGGCCATTCTTTGCCGCTGTAAGTACTGCACTGCCAGGATGTTGTATCCGTGAGGGACAATTTGCCAGGTGCTGAGATATGGAGTAGGGTATTTCGGTCGCCTCGAAGATATTCCCGGCAGATGTTCGGAGTTCAGCAATTGGTGCGTTTTTTGCCTGCATCTTGCTTTCATGTCCCTGCATAGCTATGGACTAACCTTCAGGAAGCATTTGTCTTCGTGTTTGGTCAGATCGGAGGCTCTTTGTTCCCAGTATTGACCGGCATTCTTTCTGCCCGCACGGGAGTCAAAGTCCTGCAGCCCATGCTTGTGGCTTTGCTCTGCGCTACAGCCATTAGCTGGCTTCTGCTGCCAAAGCCGCCCAAGCCACGCGACTAAGGAGATCCTGAGGGTCTGAGCTTCAAAAGTCGTGTGGATGGAGACCAAGACCCACACAAATATAGTTTGAAAGACACTTCAATCCACCAACACACACTCTCGGAACTGAGAATCTCCTATGGAAGATTATATACACTGCAGTTGAATCGAAAAGCAACAACACAATCTAAACCCAATGTTTTCAGTCTTCGAAGGATCCTGACAGATGAAGGTGGCGGCCAGCTGTGAGTCACGTGTCGTGACTGACTGGCCCGGTCGACAAGCTCCGATGTTGGCAGATTGTGTCATACACTGCCATCGAAGGAGATGTGAGCTCCGCGGAATCCTGCTGAGATTATTTTATTCGAGGCATTTTTACCTATAGGCTATTTCGCATCCACTGGAAGACCAAGCATGGTCCCCGCGAGACCCCGTAACCGCATGCGATGTGTCTATTTTTGTCAAGGACGCTCGCTGATCGGGGAGAACAAAGTGGATACCGTGCATCCTTCGCTGGGAGTAATAATGCCGGTCATCTATACAGAGGCTGACTGCGACGGATATTATACTTATACTTTGCCGGCCGTGTCAATTAACTGTGATTTGAACCGCACTACCTTGATCGATTTCTGGTAGAGCCGGACGCCCCATAGGCGATGAAATCTGCGAGTCTTTCCGCATGACAACCACTCTCACCGCGTAGCCAACTCATGAGGGATTTCTCAAGTAGTGCAATGGAACCCCAAAGCTCACAAAAACATTGACAACGATCTGTGGAAATGCTGCCTTTGGCTGCCCCGGGCATGGAGGAAGGTTTTCCGCATGCGGATGTCCCCACAACCCTAACTCAACCGCCTTCCGCCGCCTACCGATTCGACTATCCCACCCCTAAGTTGTTATGACGTGAGGTTTTGACTTTTTCTGTCAATCCATTATTACTACTACCGTGTAAGATAGAACAGGTAAGAATACCGTTGAGATATGGGGAAATTGCTCTTGGAGACGGTTGAAACTCGGAGCAGACGCAATTGAACTGCACTGTCAGCAGTGGACAGTGGATAATCATCCAGAAGATTTCAGCAAGCATTGTGGTTTTACCGGCACAATTGGGACGCCAATTCAATCTGTTACTGTAATATGCTGGTCAACCATGTTCCGGGCAGGCTCAAGTCAAGCCAAACAAGCTGCATGCGCTGCATACCCCATGGAATACTCGGTAGCGGAAGTTCCACAACAAACACTGAACAGCGTCTACCCATAGTGATGTCAAATTTGATCGGTTGTAGATTCCAGACCCATCTACTAATCAGTTCGCCATCTCTGGGGAATGTGGGCATGGTGGACCAGGTCATTTCTGTTGGGATTTGTCATCAATTCAAAAAGCTTCGGGTCTTCCAGCATTCATTGGAGAGTCCAGCCTACTGTCGTGCATATCATTCTGACGTCTTTTCAGCTGGCGGAGGGAGATTCAGCAAGGAAGATGAAACTTGAAATAGAGGACAAAGACTCAGAATCCTGTTCATTGGCAAGTATCACTTCATAGTATCTTGAAATTGACCTTTAAATCCAGATTTGCTTGGCATCATCCCCTCTTACGCTCAACATCTATCCAAATTGCTTCAAACTTTGATCCATCAGTTGCAATTCAATTGTCCCAATGAGAATCACTCCTTGGCATAAACAATCCGGCCTACGAATAACCACGTGTGAAACCAACCATGGCTACCTCGTTCCAACCTAACGTCCATTACACCTTCGGCTCCCCTCTGTCTACCACTGCGCTCTTTGGGAATCGACGAGCGTCAGATATCCTCGAGCAGGAGGGATATACAACCACGTACCAATCCTCCACCTCGCGAAGAGGGTCGCGGGCCCTAAGTGGTGGAGGAGGCTCTACGTTGGCGGATGTCGTCAGCTCACTGACCCGTCGCAGCAGCGACGCTATGATCTCTTCCAGCATCACCGATGCGGACTATGCTACGCTTCTCGAATGGATTCGAGTGGAGAGGATGCGCAAGCTCCCTCCCGAGGGCAGTAGCTTTGACAAGGCGCTTGTCTGGGCGGCTTTGTTTGTGGAACGACTGCATTCCTTTGATACGGCCCTAGAGCAGTTTGCTGGGGACAGTCACATGGCCGCTCAGCTTGCCTATGTTCACTGTGCGAGTTTACTCGAGGTATGTATGCCTAACCCAAGCACACAGCCAAGTTGAATGCTAAGATGTCTCGTAATAGCTGGCGGAGGACAATGCCCCTGCGTTGATGGATCTGTTCGGGTTGTTCTACCGCTCCTCCATGGGCCTTGGAAACTTGCTGGACCGCACAGAATTGTTCTCTGTGTCCCAGGAGATCAGGGATCAGCTCATTCTAGCCTTGGCCGACCTCGTCACTCTTATCGTTGGCGTGGCCAGACACTTCCACCGGTCTTTGCACTCTTCCGACTCAGTCTCGATTGATATCTACCGCACATTCCCGGGTCCGATTGATAGCTTCAAGGCTCGCTGCGAGCATGTCTCCGAGTCGATGTGGCGCCACCAGCTGATCCGGGAGGGTTTGAACGGGGACAAAGGTGAGCGCGACTGCTTTCAAACTACTCCTCATATCTGTACCGGTGGCTAATTCTCGCGTGCAACAGTCACCGAGATTCGAACCCTTAAGGACTGGTTGCAGCCGGAAGATCCTGTGCTGGTCAACGTGGCGGAAACAACCGCACACTTTGCCCAAGAGCGTGAGGAGTCCACCTGCCTGTGGATGACCCCCTACTTGACACGATTTCTCAAGAGCGACCGAAAGGTCCTGGCCGTGCATGGGAAACCAGGATCTGGCAAGACGATTCTGGCGACCGTGATCAACGACCATCTCCAACACCCCGTCGGAGGCACTCATTACAAATCTATCCTTGTCCCGATCAGTGAGTCCCGCTCCCCAGCATCAGTGAAGCCTACTCATAGGCTCTATAGACAGTCGAATCCCAGCCAACACTACCCCCCGGTCCGTCGCCAAAACTATCCTGTCACAGCTCTTCGACAAGCGCATTGGCAATGTACGACTCTATCAGATCCTGTCTGATGCGTATACGCGCAGCCAGTCGACGCTGGACGAGGATGCGTACGACGATCTCCTGTGGGCTGCGGTGGGAAACGCACTCAAAAGCAGTCTCCAGGGTGCGAAGGACTTCGTCCTGGTGGTTGATGGAATGGACGAGGCCAGCTGCGGAGAGACCACCCTTCACAAGCGACTGACCGAAGCTGCGATCCCGGCGGATAGAGTCAAGTTAATTGTGTTGGGCGCCCAGCAGCAGCCTTCCACGTCTTCTCAAAGCACGGTGAATGTCTCCCCCGAGCTTGTCTTTGACGACATCACCGTTGTCGTTCGGAAGATCCTGCAGAATACTCGTGCCTTCACTTCGTTGTCTGAAGAAGAGCAAGAGATCAACGTCACGCGGATTGCTGAAGCATCCAGTGGCTCGTTTCTCTGGGCCACATTGGCCGCGAAACGCATCGGCGAGGAGGGCTCGTCCAACGCCCAGGCTTTTAACCGAGCCATTGAAAGTGTGGCTAACACCGGCAAGACACTCACCGATCTGGTCTCGCATAGCCTACATTCGAAACTGAGCGAGGATGCATTGAAGATACTGGCTTGGCTCTCCACTGCGGCTCGTCCCATGACGCAGAAGGAGCTGTCAGCGCTGGGCTCCATCCACGTCGAAGATGCCACCATCACCGACAGGCAGCTTGACATCCAGCGGCTCTTGAAACCGGTCGCATCACTTGTGTTGGTCCAGAGCCATCTGGTCTACCTCCGTCATGGACAAATCCGGACCGCGATCTTGGACGTGCTGGCGAAAGATAAACCGTTGCCGACCATAAAAAATAGGAACAGCGATCTCGCACAGCGACTGCTGTTCTACACTAAGAAGGCCGTGACCAGCGAGCACGAGCCCTCGCTAGATTCATTGGATGAGAATACCACCCAGGATCTGCTGGCCAAATATCCTCTGCTTGATTTTGCTCTGCGCTACTGGTTGACGCACGTCAAGATTGCATTTGGCTGCACCACCGACCAGGAAATCACCACCGCAGCCAAAGGGCTACACAGTGCGCTTCCAACATCGCCCACCGTGCCATTGCTCGAGATGGCCGTGTGGGATAACAAATCCACACCCTCCTTGCGGCTGTTGCATGGCATCCAAACCCGACTGTATCGGCAGGCGTGGAGCCCTAATCACCCCGTAACCCTGCAGACTGTCCTGTGTCAAGCTCTGTTCTACCGACGTATTCACAACACCCGCCCAGCCCATATTAGCAAAGTCTTCTATGATGCAGCGAAGATGAGCCAAACCGTGCTCTCGCCCCGACACCTGGTCACGATGCAGATGACCAAATTCTACCTGGAAGTGACGGCCGACCAGGTCGCCGATTCCAAGACCGAGATCATGGTGAAACGCACCGAGATGCTGCAGCTTCTGGTTGAATGCTACAAGATCCATTATGGTGTGTCAAGCAGCATGGTGACTTCCACTCTGACCCAGCTGTCCGAACATTTTATCTCAATGGGAGACGAGGCCAGAGCTAAGGAGATCACAAGCTCGTTGCAGGGGCCGACCACGGACAGCGCGCCGCAACCCACGGGCCCGCGACCGACGGACGACTCGCTCTTGGTCCATCTCCACGGTCGCAAAGATACGGTGGAGACGCGGACGTCTTTCTCGCTGAACGAGCTGGAGCTGGATGATGTGATCACCCGCGCATTCGACTTCAGGTCTCTACAGGCCAAGGCTGAGCGGTTCATGGCCGATAAAGACTTAAAGGCTGCCGAGCGGACGTGGATTGAGCTGTGGCAGCAAACCAGCAAGGAATACCGCCTCAACCACTCGTCTGACTGGGAGCTCAAGAACATGGACGCCGTGCTGGGCTATGCCAAGTTCCTCAAGTCCCAGCACCGGGAGAACGAGGCCGCCTCTATTCTGTCCGGCTTCTGGGAGGGCTACGGCCAAAGCACGTCGAGCTCCGAGGCAGTGGCCGCCAAGTTCCTCGAGGTGGCCAAGGTGATGAAGTCCGTGGGACTCTCTGTCCTTGCGCTTAACGTTTTCAAGCACTGCGCTCAGAGTACCAATAGTCAGAGCGGGGTCCACCAGGAGGTGCAGCAGCATATCAATACCACTTCCCGCGAGGTGATGAAGATGGCAACCTCGACCAGCTCGAGCATCACGGAATCAAGTCTCAAAGAGATGGTCTTCAATTACACGTCCAGCACTGACCAGGTCTCCGTGACTGCGACAAACACTTTGTTGGAACTGTATCTGTCACAGCATCGATGGCAGGACGCCACCAAGGCCATCAAGCAAGTCCTCCGGACCAGCTGGCCTGCCTTCTTTGCACCTTCGGTGGACGAGGTGGTTCTTCCTTCAAGTGACCTGGAGTATTGTGTCGAACTTGCGGAACGCCTGGCAAATTGCTATCGCTCCAGGCGCCGAACAGCCAAGGAGGAGGACGTCCGTCTGCGTCTGTATCAGGCCGTCCGCCGTGATCGACCGGCGGGCGACAAGCTGCGAGACCGTGTCACGACAGGCATTCTACGTCTATACGAACGCATGTCGCAAAGTGACAAGCTGATCACTATTCACCAGGATATCCTGAGCGATTCGACCAAGCGATACGGACCGGAGCACCCGACCGTCGTCAAGCAGCTATGGAAGCTTGCCGAGCTGACTCGTCCTCGTCCTATCGCGGTGGACTACTATCGCCAGATCGTGCACATTCTGAACAAGGATTCCGAATCCTGCCATCCTGATGCCTTTGAGCCTTTGCTGATTGTGGTAACTGAGCTCCTAAACCAGGCGCGCTATGCAGACGCCCTGAAGCCATGCCGCGTATTATTCAATACGGTTCAGAAACCCAAGATTAGCCCAAAGCTTCAAGAACCGAGCTTCGTCCAGACGCTTTACGAGCGATACATTCACTGCTTGCGCATGGTCCACAGCGACACCACGGCCATTCACGACGTGACGGTGCAGTACCGCAAAGCTTGCATCAGCCTGTTCGGCATGTCGGCCGCGATCACTATCCAGGCCACCAAGACCCTGGCCAATATCTGCCTGGAGTCCAAGCGGTACGAGGCCGAAGCGATCAAGCTGTTTGAAGAGTTGCTGAACACCAAATCCAACGAGATGGACATCGACCGTGATGACATCCGCGCTACACTTGACTCCATTTACGAAGAGCAAAACATTCTTGTCAACGCGTCGAAGACGGAGTCCATGAGCGCCGACCAAGTGAAGAGGGTGATCTCCATTCGCACGCAGCGTCTGGCCTCTCTTCGCTCCACCCATGGATGGGCCCATGAAGAGGCTCTGTCGCACCTCCGCGAGATCGTGGCTCTGTACTCCAAACAGAGCGATACGCAGGCTGCGGTGACCCTCCTGCGCAACGCCACAGCCCAGGTCCTCGCCACCGAGTCGTCGTCCATCCAGCTGAGCGCCGCGGCCAAGACCATTGCAGCTGGTTACATCACGGCCGGGCAGGTAGATCGGGCCAGAGACATATCCCAGGAGCTGTATCGGCAGATCGTGGCGAAGGACACGACCAACGTCGGGGCTGTGGGATTCGACCTGACCTCCAGCCAGCGGCAGAGTCTATCCTTCCTGGCCGAGCTGGAGTACAGCCTGCGTCAACGAGAGGACTCCTCGCTCACCCTCAATGAGATCTACTCGGCGCTGACGACCGAGTACATGTATTTCGAGCAGTTCCGCACTGAGATCAGCTCGAAGAACAGCAGTGTCATGACCGTCACCCCGTCTGCCTCGCGACTGTATGGTTTCCTGTCCGCCAAGGGCCGTCACGCTGACGCTGCGCGCCTCGTCGAGCAATTCACCAATTACCTCCTCGCCACCGAGGGGTCGACCGTCCAAGCCAACTCCGGCCAGGCCAAGATCTTCATCGCCACCCTCCTCGAGTACTTCCACGCACACACCTCGCAGCACTTCATTCGCTCCGTGGCGATCGCCAGCTACGACCGGGTGACCCAGCTGCTGGCCACCGCGGACTACAGTGCAGCGTGCAGCCTGGCGCTTACAGCCTTCAAGTACATCCGGGCACATCAGGGTTACACCTCCCCCTCGGTGCTCAAGATAGTCTTCAAGCTCGGGCTGGTGATCGCCGGTCGTGACGTCGAGGCGCGGCCTGCCGCCGCGTCGCGCAAGGAGATGCTCGGCGTGTCCGCCACCATCCTGCAAGAGACGCTGGGCTACCTCAAGCAGCAGAAGGTGGACCTGACGCAGCTGGACCTGGTGCACCTGAACAACCTGATCTGCGTGCTGGACGAGCAGCACGACTACCACACCCTGGCCTGGATCCTGACCTCGCTCTGGAACAACCGCGACACCAACCACATTGCCACCTCGCAGCCCCAGTATGCCTACACCCTCGCCCTGGGCCGCATGCTCGTCATCACCCGCTATTTGATTGGGGATTACACGGATGCCATGCGTCTCGCCGAGGACATTGTCTACAACTGCGCCCGCGTCCATGGCCCCCGCCACCCCAGCACCGTCGAGATGACCGTCCTCCTCTCGCAGATGTACACCAGCGTCGCGCAGGGGTACCAATCCCAGAAGGACCGTCGCGAGCTTGCCTACCGATACTACAAGAAGGCGGCCTCGTTGCATGAGAATGCGCTGCGGGTGTTTATTGATCCGACCTCTGTCTCCGCGACGGAGATGGAGGACAGCATTAGCAGCAGCGAGTCGGGATCCGGCGCGACCAGCCCTGGAGGCCTTGTGGAGGATGAGGGCAAGCATGTCCGACAGCATCTGCATCTGCTGAAGCTGGCAGTGGAGCGACTGGGCGACTGGCCTAAGGAGTATGCGGAGTATGAGCGCCTGAATGCGGATCTGTTCCGGACCTTCGCCAAGGATCTGAAGGATGTGGAGGGCGTCGAGAAGTGGAATCTGAAGCGGTTTGGCTCGGGTCGCGCCGAGGCGAGCGATGATTTGATCGCGACGGGAATCAATCAAGTTGTGGGGAGTCATGATCGACTCGCTATTGCTGTGTAAGGATGGCTTTGGGGCGAGAAAAGTGCTTTGGCTTCTGTGACTTATTGTGTAGCTAGTCTTGTATGGTTGACAAGAAAATGCGTTTCATGAGTAATGCAATTTGTTGGGATAGGTACCTAGACACTGCCTGCATCACAATCTTGTGGATAGCCTCATCCCGGTGAGTTCACAAAGAAGTAATATCAGCACATGTCAGTTAATCGGAGATTCGAATTGCTCTGATCTCAGCTATCCCCAAGCCTAACACGCTCGGTACCACACCCGACCAACTCACTCCTTCCGCTCCAAGATCTTGGACAAAGCCGCCACCTCAGTGTGATCGCGAGTATTTTGCATGCGATGACACCACGCCACGCGTCTCTCATCACTCCCCCCGGGACTCGCTTCGCACAGGAACTCGCCGCCATTCTGGCGCGAATCCCCACCCTTGAGGGCTAACCCACTGGGAAGCTGCTTCAGCGTCTTCCAGAACGACTCGGCCACGATCTGTACCATGCTCTTCTGAATATACTCTGGCTTCTCGCCGAGAGCCAGTGAAGAGAGCAACCCCAATTGCTCGTAGAGCTTGCGGGTAGGGTCCGCGTAGATGGGGAACTGGCAGCCTGTCTCCTTTGCATAGATGTCGATCAGACCCGGGTCCCCACACCCCACCACCACCACGGAGGTTGGGGAGCTGAGTTGGGACCGAAACTCCGGGGTGATGGCTTTGGAGAGCACCTCGATGTATTGCTTGCAGCTCTGCGGGTGGTTGTTTAGCATACGGTGCGTGAGCAGCTGGGAGAAAGGAAGGCATACCCCACAGAAGAAATGACGGATGAAGACGACGAGAGTGCGGGGGGCCGCATCTGGACCGCTGTAGAGGGTCGAGTATTGGTGTGGCTGTCCTTCACGGTCGAGGACGGTGTAACTGGCGACTTTGGCTTGGATCTCGGCGGAGGGGGGCTCGTCGCCGGCTAGCTTTGCGGGTGCGGGTTCATTGTCTGTGGTAGGGGTCGGGGTGCTGGCACTGGAGGCCGTGGTATTCTTGGGGAGCTCAGAATCGTCGACAATGTCTGCCATGATATCTATTAGATGGTTGTTGCATGTGAGATGGCGTGGAGATGTCATGGAGAGCGAGATGTTGGACAAAGGACAGTCACCTGACCTATCCCACCCCGCTCGCATAAGACTGTCGGGTCATGTGAGCTGAGATTCAGAATCTTAACTGGAGTTAATGAGACTTTAACTGATGTGCGCTATATACATTTGTGTAGCATTGAGAAGTGCAAGGGAAAGATTGAGAGTTGTCGCAATGCACATTTCCATGTCATCATACCTGGGTGTCGGCCAAGTGCGACGTCTCGGTGAGAAGATGCTATAGTAGGCCTGGACATATATATTCTTGTCACTCCTCGGGGTACTAACTCCGAGCATCACTCAGATATCCTCGCTTGTTCGTTGTCCAGCTCATTCTCAATACATCAGCCTGGCTTGTCTCCTGTATGCTCCATCCAGGGGGGTGTGGTGTGGGGTTTCGCTTGGTTTCGAAAGCTTGGCCAATTCTTGTCAGTCTGCCCAGAGAATCTACCCGAGACATTTTGTGCATGACTCCATTACTTCCCCTGAGGAAAATACTCCAGCCAGCATTCAAGTCTTGTAAAGATGTTTGTTGCCAGATCTAGACTTCGACGATGTCTCTCCAAGCCAATTCAAGGGTCAACCCACTCCTCCGCACCATACTGAAGCCGTCGTATGGACGGAAGATCTAGACCCGGTCATGAGGCCCGAAAAGGTGCAGCAAGAGTGTACCTGAGACAGTCGCCAGTAGCCTTCTCCTTTCTGAGTGTTTTCAACCCGGCATGCTGCCAAAAACGTGGATGGGAGGCTTGTTTCAGGGTGCGGGCCAACGCTTAATCTGAAACCTGGGCAAATTAAGGTGTTTCCCCTGCAAAACTTCAAAACCGGCCGGCGCTTTCGCTTCCTCTATAAAGCTCACCAGCTCCATGCCTCCTGAAGTCGAAGCTATTTTACTTTCTCTTCTCACCCCTGTGGCAATCTCATTCCTTTCATTGACGGCACTGGTGGCCCCGACCTTTCTTCACACACTTTCTTAATCTTCCCATCCCGACTACGTTCTTTAGCATACCCGAATATCGATATCTGCAACATCAACATGCAAGTCCTTAGCACTCTCGCAATCCTGCCCACTGTGGCGCTGGCCGCCGTCCTGCCCGCTGCTCTTCAGAGCGGCACCAAGGTGGCCAAGCGCGACTCGTGGGGAGGCAGTGTCTCGCTGGGTCCCACCAAGTCCGACATCATCAATGCGGTCACCACCCTCATCCCCGGAACCGCCCCTGCCACCCAGAACGGTGAGCTCTTCCTCTGGCCTGGTATGAGCAACGGCACTGGAGATCTCATCCAGACCACCATGGAGAGCTGGCCCAGCAACGCCTGGTGCGGTGCCACCACGGGCCAGTGGTGTGTGCGCGCCAGTATCTTCGGTTCCTTCGGTCAGCTCGATGGCACTGGCTCCGCTGTCAGCGGCGACGACCACGTTCGCATCGAATACAACCTGCTCTCCGATGATAACACCTGGGTGCAGACGGTCACCAATGCCGTGACTGGTGCCGCGCTGTCGAACTACTCCTACGCTTCAGGTCCTTACATGACTGGGTAAAGCTGCCTCTCTCATTTATCATATGGTTGGTGCTTACTGATGCTAACCCTACTACTGTACAGCTATGGAACAGGCACCGAGTGCGACTCCGACTGCACGGGCACGGTGGCTGCTCAGGTCTACCTCAACACCACCATCACCCTCCGTGAGGCCGACACTACCTTTGGCGATACCATTGCGACTGGCGCCGGCGCCACCTACACCGGCCTGAGCTCGAGTGAGGGTGGTAAGGTGTGGACCATTGCGACCATCAACATCCCCGCCATGGGATCGGAGACCGCCGTCGCCTCATCCACCTCTGCCGCCACCGCCCACTCGACTCCCGTTGAGACTGCTGTCGTCGAGGTGGAAGAGTCCAGCACTGTTGCCACGTCTGTTGCGACTTCTTATGTCTCTGCCTCTGCCGCTTTCGGTGATGACGCGGACGCTGCTCCCTCCGCCTCGCCCTCAGGACAGCGCTCTGGCCATGGATTCGGTGGTGCTCCCAAGCCCAGCCAGAGTGTCGGCGCTGCTCCTTCTGGTGCTTTCGGTCAGGGCTACGGCTCGGGACCTCGTCCTTCAGGTGCTGCTCCCTCCGGTGCTGCGCCTTCCGGACAGCACACCAAGCACCACGGCCACGAGGGCCACCACACCAAGCACCACGGTCACCAGGGCTCCGGCCATGGACGCGGCGGACACTCGAAGACTGCCTCTCAGCCCGCTGCCGCGCCTGCTGCCACGTCTGCTGGGGCTGCTCCCTCGGGTTTCGTCTCCAGCCAGGGCGGAAAGAGCCCCCAGGCTGATTCGGGCAAGCAGGGAAACTTTTAAGCGCCGGATTGACCGACACTCGGTGTGGTGATCTTGGGCAGTGAAGTAGCTATGTATATATACTTTTAATATAGTCAATACACTTCGCCACAAACATCAGATTCCCTGGAATTGAGGGACCAGATCCCGTAGACTATCCGACAACCCATTCCCCGGAATAATGAGTAATCACGCGGATGTAGGGCTTGGTGGTCATTAGACCAAGTGACGGACAACATTCCAGGTTGGCAGAAACAGTCCCCAAGCACCACCACCAAGCCCCTAAAGCGACGGGACAAGCCAGGCACGGACCAGAACTGCTCGCTCTGGGGGTTTTTCTTCACGGGTCTTGGCGTTGTCCCACGATGGGGTCAAAAATAGGGGGTTGCAGAGGCACATCCCAGAGCTTAGCTAGCTCTCAAGCTCATCAGACCGTCGCCAACTCTGAGACACATTCGTCAGCCTGACACTGGCGTCAATCAGAATGCTTAGCACACATCAATTGGGTGATTGGGCCAGTGGGTGGATTCGAACAACGGCGGTGTTTCAGATAAGGGTTGTCTCGGCCGATGCCCGAATCCTGGGCCTTGGCAGGTGCGTCTTAGTCTTGTTGCGGTCAAGGATCTGCGGCTTAGGACCGAGCAGGTAGCGTGAATGAACTTTCGTTGTCTAGATGTGGCTCCAGGGAGGCTGTCGGCTTTGACTTTGTCTCCCCATATCTGGACACTGTCCCGCCCGGCCCTGGATTGAGTATAATGCCCGACCCGCGAGAGGAGTCCGACCCCATGGTCATGCTTCTTAACCAAAGCCATGGCCAGGTTGCTTGCCTGAGAACTGGATCCGCTCTTTCGCAGTCTGATCGTGCGGAGTGATAAGATGAGAACCAGCGAGCCCTCCAGAGATGCTGCACGTCCACAACCATACCCTTGGTCCTGGGGCAGAGATGCCATCCGGGACCAATTACGGCCCGGAACTGTTGATCAGCGTGTGGACAATGATGGCCTTTTCAATCCTCGTGGTCGCCTCCCGCACGGCCAGCAACTACAAGTTCGGGAACCTGCAGCTTAGCGATGTGATCATATTGTTGGCTCTGGTACGCTACTGCCAGTCACCTTCTCAGATTGTCACTAATTAGGCCAGACTTTGCTGTTGATTGCAGCCGTGCTGTTCAACGTCGCGGTCAACCACGGGTACGGCAACACCAGCACGGCCCCCAGCCACCGCAGTGTGACCGCAAGCTTCCGGTACTCGACCATCGGCTACGCGATTGTCATCCTCGCCGCCACGGCCGGTCGTCTCGCGATGATTATGTACATGATGGCGTTGCTGGCGGCGCGGACGTGGGATCGCATGGTCCTGTGGACTCTCGTACCCCTGCAGGTGATCGTCAATGTGGTCAGTGTGGTTTTGCTGTTCGCACAATGCTCGCGTGTCCAGGACATATTCCAGCCAGGCGCTCAGGAACAATGTATGTCGCTGGATGTTCAGATCGATTATGGATATTTCCAGGGTGGTGAGTTGGGCCCCTTCCGCCAAGTACTCCCCCAGCAAAGATCCAACGACTAATCCATTGGGAGGGTAGCATTCAACTCCGCCAGCGACCTCTTCCTCGCCGTCTTCCCCATCTACATCTTTTGGCGGTTCAACTGGACGCTCCGGGTCAAACTGGTGCTCATCTCCCTGCTTAGCCTGGGGGTCGTGTAAGCCCTACCTCTTCTCAACCTCGAACCCCCCCCTTTGCCCAGAGACTAATCGAAGGCTGAAGAGCAATGGCTGCCTCCCTCGTCAAAACCCTGGAGTATCCCACGATCCTCAAATCGACCAACCCGCGCATCAACCGCGTCCCCCTCCTCCGGTGGATGTTCATCGAGGCCGGTATTGTCCTTATAACCGCCTCAGTTCCGTGTATCCGGCCCCTGGTCATCCACTGGGTTCGAAAGTATATCCGAAAGAAACAGACGCAGCACCACCAGATGGATGGGGAGCCTGTTGCCAATCAGTCAACCGAGAATTTCGCAGCAGACTGGAAGATGAGCTGGATCATGCCGTACGTGAGGCAGCGGGGACAGGGACAGGCGTCGTGCTCCTCGGAAGAGCACGAGCGGCAGATTCTGGCGAATATCACGACGCAGATCTTCGCGGGGGATCGGGAGTTTCTGGATCGGCATGTGGGGGGGATTGTGAGGAAGGTTGAGGTGGTGGTGGTTGCGGATGAGATTCCATTAACGACCAGGAGAGATAGCGGAATATAATCGTGGTCATGTACAATACAGGTTGTTCTGAGGGGCTTTTATTTATACGAAGTACTGTAGATATGCACACTAGGTTAGGTAAATTGACTATGCTGGCAAATGCGGACTAGCCTCGCTGCCTGACGGACACCATTCTGTTAAGGCTACGACCTCCGCGGGTAATGCCTCATGCATCAGGCATCAAGCCCCGGTCGGGAACAACCACCAACTCCGACACACACACGACACAATCATCACCATACCATCAACAACAACCTCACCAGTTCAATCACCACCTACCAAGTAAAACTCTCCTCGATATAATCCACCACCGTCCCCCTCTCCAGCACCGCACGACACGCCCGCCGCACCTCATCGCTCAACCCCCCATTCCCACAACACATCACCCCCATCGCCCCGACTTGGCCCGCCGCCTCCATCCCCACCACCGTCTGCACGTCCGGCCGCCCAGCGAACATCTCCACCGTGGCGCTGGGACTCTTGATCTCCTTGGGGCTCCGCGGCCGCGTCACGAACACCTTCACCCGCAGCACCGCCCTCCGGTCCTCCATCGCCAGCACCTCCGTCATCCACGGCCGGATCCACTCCAGGTGCTCGGGGGACTGCACAATCCACACCAGCGTGACTTGGCGGGCGGAGACAGTGCCGGTCGTGTAGCCGTGCAGAAGGTGGGGGATAAAGGGGAGACAGTGGGTGATGCCTACTCCGCCGGCGACCAGGAGGACGGTGCCGTACGAGTCGAGGGTGTGGAGGTCGCCGTATGGGCCTTCTACCAGCGCTGATACTCGGAGCGAAGGGGTGGTCTGGGGCTCTCGAAAGGAGGGGCCGCTTGCCCTAGGGTCGTCGCTGTAGGACAACGTGCTGCGGTGGGAGTGTTGGTGGGTGAGGGCTGTCTTGAATAGCTTGTCGGTGAACCCCGTGCGGCGTCGGATGAGCAGGGAGATACTTTGCGATGCCGTGTCCTGTGCGAGGTAATTGTTGGATGACTTTTCGGTGAGTGATGCTGCTGCTGCGCTCGTGTCTCCCGCCCAGGCTACGGAGAAGGGATGCGAGGTCCAGCCTCCGACGGAGGGGATGCAGAGGAAGAGATACTGGCCTGGCGAGAAGCGCCACGGTCGCGCAACGTGCAGGGTCACCCGCATGGTGTCGCCCGGGAGAACCTCGACGTAGGCTGTGGTGCGGGCTCCGGCGCGGAAGTTCCGGTGCAGGAGGATCATGAAGCGGACTAGACGCTGCATTACAGGGTAATTGGGTTAGCTGGGTGGCATAGATCTGGCGGTGGGATCCCAACCTCGCATGCCCAGAAGGCGACCGCTGCGTAGAAGTAGAACTTGCACGAGTAGCGGTAGACGTGATGCCACACAAATCCCAGCCCGATGCAGGCGAGTGCAATGTGGAGGTGCAGGAAGGTCTCGTAGAAGGCGTGTCGGATCGGCGAGGGCGACTGGACGAGGATGATGAGGAGGGCCACCATGCACTGGAGGTGGAGGTCAGTCACCGCCCTACTAATGAAAGCCAGGTGACTGGCGTTGCCTGCACTTACCATCAACCCATTGAACATGAAGGGCTTGCTAAGCGTTGCGAGCATCCCCTTCCACCCATCTGCTGCATATCAGACGAGACTTCAAAGTACAGAACAAGGGACCATACAATCCTGCACCTTGGGCACTCCCCATGCAACCACATGCGCCAATGCCTCCAACACGACGATCCGGCCCAGCCACCGATGCAGGAGGTTCCAGGTGTCGAACGAGACCCGCAGCAGCGAGGTCAGCGGGTTGTTGCGGCCTGCTATGACCAACAGCGGAAACAGATTCGCCGTCGCCATGTACCCTGTCCGATTCCGGATCTGGACTGCCACAGTGGACTCCTCCAAGCCAAAAGGGATCGTGATGGTGCAAAGAATCGCGTTCAGGACTACAAGACAGGTGAGCAGCAGGGCGTGGAACCGACTGGGCAGTGTGCCCATGTTGACGGCACGGGAAAGCTGCATTTCTCGGTTGTGCCGATTGTGCCAGAGGGGCGCGTAAAGGAGATGTCGCTTGAGCCATGAGAGTCGGGGGTCAGCAGCCCGGTGGAACTTCTGCGATGGGTCGGTGAAGGTCGCCAGTCGCCGGAGATGGGCAGCAAGCTGCTGCGTGGTCTGCCAGATGAAGATAATCGCAATCAAGCACGCGAATGTCCACAGGGAGACGTAGCAGAGCTCGTCGTTGAGGAACGCATACCACATGCTGTCAGCCATGTTGGCCGAACGTATAAAAGCAGGACAAGAGCCCGCTCGCAGGAGGCTGAAAAGAACGAGATCAGGGTTGCAGTCCAGCCACAGCCCTTGAGAAGCAAAAACGGTCTTGAGAAAGAAACTGAACGAACTGATGTAATGGGAACAGCGGTCAAAGGAGTGAACTAAGAGTGGAAGACTTTGGTCGCGAAGATAGGAGACCAGAGCCCAGGCAGAGATAAAGCTGTGGTCTGGGTCACTAATGAATGACCCTTCCTCCGAATCAATGCTGCCTGTCACAAGCGCCCACTGCGAAGTTCATCACACTCTTTTCCGTAGTGGAGCTGTCATCTCTTGGAAACCGCCCTATCTCCAGCCCTGGCTGCAAATGCCACTGTTCCATTGGGCGTTAACCGCCCAGCGACGAGTGGGTCACCACCAAGCTTGTTTCAGGGATATGGCAGCCCCATCAATCAGGACGTAGGGCTGAAGGCGATGCACGACTCGCAGGCTTGGAAAGGCTTAGTTGGCCATGCCAGAATGAATCAGGACCCGTGCAGTGGTCCAGCAATTAATCTATTTGCCCTCTAGAGAGCATGTCGTTGTCTCATATCATACAGAACATAGCATCACAGCACAGCACCTCAACCGAAGCAATACCCCAGCCCATCGAGCAAGTCCCGCGCGACCACATCGATGCCTCCCGAGTGGGAGTCTTCCCGCCCAAACCCCAAAAACATCACATCGTCGATGTACCCATGATAGCGCTGACCCGCCTGCTTCCAGCTGATGGAGGTCACATACAACATCTCCGACTGCTGCTGATCCTCTTCGACCCCCACACTCGAGGACCCCCTCCCGTGAATCCAGAGTGGCTTGGTGGAAACACCAAACACCTCGAACGGTGCACGCTGGCGGAACAACATGACGTACGGCTCGTACACACTGTGGAAGGCCACGTACTTCTTGTGCTGGAAGATCATGAAGACAAACGTGTTATCTTCGCTGGGCTGGCAGCTGGGATCGGCGCGTTCACAGAGCGTGATCGCCAGGGAATTTGTCGCCTGGTGGATCGACTCGTGGGTTAAGTCTGTGAGGACAGGCAAGTATTTCTGCAAGCAGCGCTCGTCGATTGGAGCGGCATTGGCCGCCAGATTGGGACCGACAGAGCCATCGGCGATGCTCAGCAGCTGCGAGAAGGCTCGCGTGGGCGCCACATCGTAGTGCACGTACGCTGTCCCGTGCATGTCCCAGAACAGGAACCAATTCTTCTCGATGGCAGAGTACCCCGACAGCAGGGGTCGCTGCAGCTCGACTGGGTGTCGATAGGTGGGGATTTGAATGATCTCCTCGCCCGGCCAGTCGACCAGCACGCGAAAGTCCAGCACCCACTGTCCGAAACACGTGTGCTGCGAGTTCGACCCATATACCGCATACGGTCGGTCGGGTCCGTAGAAGATCCGCGCATCGTGTGGCCCCAGGCTCACCCAGAGAAACTCCAGCTCCCCATTGCAGCGCGTCGGGTCAGTGGCCGTCGCGGCGATGGGGAGGATGAGCGGCTGGTCAACGCAGCGCAGCGTGCGACCTTGGTTCTGGAAGGCTGCGGTACAGACCAGCTCGGCGCTCCAGACAGAGAGAGGCTCGGTCTCCGAGCGGTTGCGCGCCAGTTGCGCGGTGATGATCCATCTGTCGTCTAGCACGGGGTGGGGGATAACGCTGGGGTTGAAGCCATCTCGTTCATTGAAATCAATGTGGAAATATTTCTGGTTTGGGGTCGATGCGGAAAAGACTTGGTGATGAGTGGCTGAAAGATGCGACAGGTCGATATTATTGTGCCGAGTGGTCTCCTCTAGGCCAGTGGCTGCTGACGGGGCTGCGACCCCCCTGTACAGGTAATAGAAGGTGAGGAGCAGGCCCAGGAGGAGCCCGGCAAGGGGCACCAGGCGCATGAGCCGGGCAGACATTGCTTGCTATGCTTGCTATGCTTGCTATGCTTGCTATGCTTGGGTTGGACCTGTCCAACCTGAGCAAGGAAGACTGGCAGGAAAATTGGAGGGAAAGCCAGACAGCCCAGACAGAGTGAGGGAGGGGGAGGGGGAGGGGGTGGAATGGCCTGGCTCGTGTGGAAGTTGGGATAAATTAGGGTTGCAGCCAGCAGGAATGAAGGCAGAGGGGCAGTTCGGAATAGTCAGACATAGTGGGAGGCCTGAGCTGCAGGTTTTTCCCCTTTGAGCTTGGGCGGCCCGGCCCTGAATGGGATTCAATTAATCACTGAATCACCGAACCCAATCAATAAACACAAACACATTAATCTCACGGAGGAGTGAGTGCTTCCCCGCTTTTCAGGTCGGGTTTCATGCGAAGTGATCAGCATGCAGGCTCTGCCGTCCATAGTCGAGCATGTGAAATTGGGTGATGGTGATTGCCAGGGTCCGGGGAAAGCAAGAAGTAAGACCGAGAGGATTCCCCCATTCTCCACTCTTCACTCTCCACTACGCATCTTCTCTTCTCTTCCTGTCATTCTCTGAACTATCGGTGATAGCGCCATTCCTGGCCCTCGGTTGGTCTCCGATTCCGGAAATGAGCCTACAAACTACCGATAGTGGCACGCAACCCAAAGAAGCAAAACCACAAAACCACGCACTAAAATTTCTGTCTTGCTATCTATCGATCGCTGCTTGCTACACTAGATTAAGACTAAGACTAAGCGTCATTTCCCAATGTCCGTCGGTACAGCCACTGCGCTACTCGCACGCTCGGCTCGTCAATCCAGCGGGTGACTATCTCTGCCAACCACAGCGTCACCGGCAGCAGGATCAGCTGCGGTGCTAGGAAGCTCACCTCCAACCCCAGGGGCCCGACGCGTGGCAACGGCAGTCGGTTAATCCAGCCAGGGCAATTCGATGCATGTGAATCGCGTGCCCAGCCGACCGCGGCGTACAGCCGATCGCCCAGCACCCACAGCACGGGCCCGTGGACGAGGTAGAAGGCAAACGACACCCGTCCGAGGTACTGATTGAAGGAGGTCTCGAAGAATCGCTTCAACCACGGCATGCGTGGCAGCGAGGCAACCAGAAAGGTCGCTGCCCAGAAGAGGTAGAACCACTTGTAGTCGAAGACTGCCTGAGGCTTCAGCAGAGACAGGTAGTACCACCCGGGGGACTCGCGGAGGATCTGCACCTCGAAGCTCCGCGAGGGGACGCCCCCAAGATACATGCTGATCGCCAGCAGAACAGGAAAGATCCCCTCGCGGTACGGCTCCAGCATGACGAAGCAGTCGGGCAGCTGGTCCCGCGCCGCGAGCTGATCCAGATCGCACAGGAGCATGCCCGACATGAACAATGCTCCGAACCAGCCATCGGCAATGTAAAGGAAATAGAACACCAGGCCAGCCTCACAGGCTAACCGCATGGATCGGCGACAGCGGGAGAAGGCCAACAGCGCCGTGTAGACGATGATCGATCCGCGGAATTCCACCGGGATGGACCACGAGTGGAAATTGTAGGTGAACCACGGCTCACCTCCGCCCCGGAAGATGAAGCTGAAGTTCTTGAACTCGGCGTACCAATTCCAGAGCTCTGCGCCATAGCTTCCTTGCAATTCGGGCACCGTCTTCACGCGGAAGACGTGAAGGAAAGTCATGTAAATGAAGGTCGTGGCAATAACAGGCAAGAAAAGGCGCAACCAGCGACGGAACAAAGCTGACGCGAGATTGTCGCTCAGCGCGACACGCTCCCCTGCGCTGATCAACGCCAGCGGTTTCGCCGACAAAACATATCCAGAGAGCACGAAGAAGACGCTGACTGCGAAATGTCCGCCCGAGAAAAAGTTGCGGATCCCAGGAAAGGCGACCAGGTAGCGTTGATTCTCATATCCGTACGCGTTCTCGAAAATGCGCTCCGCTCCAATGCCGTCGTGAGCCCACAGTTCATGGTGGCCCCAATATACCAGTAGAGCGGCAAATCCGCGCAGACCGTCTAGATAGGCTGTTCGTCGAGGTCGCGGAGCAGAGGTCGACAATTTTTCGCGATCCTGGCCGTGGTCTGATCGGGATAGAAATTCCGGGCACAGCCTCTCCATCCAGCGAGACTTGGGGATGGGGGGCGGCTCCAGCAGGGAAGACTTCCACTCGCCGTCTTCCAAGGACTTTTCGCGCATTGGAGATATTAAGAGAGCTGGCATGGTGGCCAGAGTAGCTGGTGAGGTTGTCAAGCGGGCTGCGATGCGTGGCCTGGTGGTGCGGAGCGATATATGAGGGCTTCCCGTCGCCCCCGCCACCAAAACAACCGAACTCCGACTAAGCGGAGCGATCGACCGGGGGGGAACAGGTTGAGGGTCTTTCAAGTTTAGTCTCCTCGCTGCCTCGCTGACAATTTGACCTGGTCGTGTGAAAAACACATGTCTCGGAGCCATTTCCCCTTCAGGGCCGCCGTCAGTGCGCCACCCGAGGCTTTTCCCCCCAGGAACCTCCGAATGGTTTGAATGCGATCATCCTGGGTCGATAAGTGCTACGCCAATCGATTAGCTCCATGACCGGCTCAGTTGGGTCCCAGTGAGGCCCCTAGCGCAGCTAAGAGAGCTTAGCGACTGCAATTGACGCATATGAAGCATTCTCGTCACCGTGCTGTTCCCCCTCATAAACGTCCAGACCATCAGCCCACGCCGCTTCTGCCCCTGAGCACCACCACTTCTCCCTCACTTCTCTTCGTTGCCTGTGTCTCTGCTCGTATTGCTCGACAGAATGCAGGCAAACCCCCCTCTGTCTGGCGTCTTTCTGCCACGCCACCTTCGTCGAGTGGCCCCTGTTTTCTTCTCTGCCTTTGTGCTGGTCTTCTACCTCTCCCTCACCGGGACCTTTGGCGAGGTCAATGGCAGTCTCTCCGGCCCCACCGCGCGGTATAAGCAGTTTCCCCGGAAGATCTGGCAATCGTGGAAGGTCAATCCTCTGGCTTTCGAGCCGCGAGATCTCCTTGTTGCTCGAAGCTGGCCGGAGAAGAATCCCCGCCATCGGTACGAGGTGCTGACCGATGAGAATGACCTCTACTATGTCGAGACCCATTATGGGCCGGAGGGGCTGAACCGACCGGACATTGTCGAGGTGTACCGCTCGCTGAACGCGCGCATCATCAAGGCCGACCTCCTGCGATACTTGATTATGTATGTCGATGGGGGAATCTGGGCGGACATTGACGTGGAAGCCCTCCGTCCGCTGGACCGATTTATTCCCGAGCGATTTACCGAGGACGAGATGGATCTGGTGATCGGAGTCGAGATCGACGAGCCCGAGTTCAATGACCATGCGATCTTGGGCCAGAAATCGCAGTCCTTCTGTCAGTGGACTTTCATGAGCAAGCCCCGCCACCCGGTAATGATGCGGTTGGTGGACAACATTCTGGCTTGGTTACATGAACTGTCGGTTCAGCAAGGCAAGCCCATCGGCGAGCTGGAGCTGGACTTTGACGACGTGATCAGCGGCACGGGGCCCTCTGCCTTCACCTCCGCCGTGCTGGCAGAGATGAGCATCCGACTAGGTCACGAAGTGAGCTGGAACACCTTCCACAGTATCCCCGAATCCAAACTTGTGGGGGGGATTCTGGTGCTGACCGTCGAGGCCTTCGCCGCCGGCCAGGGCCATTCCGACTCGGGCAATCACAACGCCCGAACGGCCCTTGTCAAGCATCATTACCATGCCTCCAACTGGCCCTCAAACCATCCGCGCTTCAGTCATCCGGTGTACGGGGAGGTGGAGAAGTGCAACTGGAATAAGGAGTGTGTGCGCGCATGGGACGAGAACACCGCTGCCTTTGCCGCCCTTCCGCCCGACGAGCAGGAGCGTCAGATTGCCCTCAAGCAGGCCAACGATGCGGCGGAGGCAGAATTGCAACTAAACCTCGGGATGGACCTGGGGTTGGATCTGGGATTGAATCTCGGTCAATAACATCATGCGAAAAAGGCTTGGGATGACTTGTGGTGGCGTCTGGGCATGTTGGCGTTTGTTTATAATCGTGTGCTGCATACTAGCCGATGCAGCTTTATGAATTCACTTTTTTAAATTGAAGCATGAAGCTTGTGTATCGGTTCTCAGGAGTGACGATGGACAATAATCATTTGTGAGTTTTGGGGTACAACAGGTTGAATGTAGCTTGGACGGGTGACGATATAAACTTGCTGCCAGGTCACCACGCCAGCGGAGCATGGGTGATCCGACACCGAAAGACACAAAAAAAAACAACACAAGCATGGAGAAGGCAAGTACAGACTTTCTTCGATGAATATGGATGAAGATCATCAGTCTACAGACACGGTACGAGGAACTGAAAGTGAAGGCGAGGCTGCCTTATCACCTACTCAGGTGAGGTCATCGAGACCAAACGCGGACATGTGACATGTAATCAACACGTGATCAAGCAGCTCAGTCACTCTGCAAGCCAAAGCCCAGAAAAACCAGCAGATGAAAAACGAGGATGATGCCTCTACGATCTTGGGTATATACAAAATCCAAAGAATGATTGTCGCTGAAACGCTACGCTAAGCCGTAAAGTCATCAAGCCAGTCCCCAATGTCATCGTCCATCTATTGTCCGACGAGCTTTCTCAGCACCATGACTTCCGCTTCCCATTTGGCAACCTGCAGCCGTAGATCATCGCGCTCGCGAGTCACTTGACCCAGCCGTGACTCCAGGTCAGAGACGTGCTCGACGTGTCGCTGGCGTAACCTCCGCGAAGCCATCTTGTTGCGACGCCGTTTCTCCTGGATGCGCTCCTCCGAGTCTTGGGACGAGAGAGTGTCGCTCCCCATTGACTCTTCGGTGGATGAATGCGACCGTGCTCTCTTGTTTCCTCGTCGAGAGGCTGTGGTGGTTGTCGATTTGGGAGTTACGGTTGTAGCTGCCGAAACGGAGGTCTGAGGCAGGGGCGAGAGATGGTGAAGGTCGTGCAGAGAATAGGTATACGGCAATCGGAAGGAGCTATGGCTCATCGGGGAGGCCGATCGACTCAGCGTGGCGTCGATCGTGGTAGTGCTCGAGATTTGTGGAACGGTGGTCTCGAGTAGGGGATGTGGCATGAGAGAAATGATAGGGATCATGTCGAGGTCTGGAGGACACGACGGTGGAAATAACATGGGATCGAGGTCGTAGATGAAGGGATCTACCATCTCAGGATCCCACGAGGAAGGCTCTGAGTATGAGGCCATAGGGCTGTACGGCGGCAGCGATTGGGGGAGAGAAAATGCGAGCAGGGCGACTTCTCACCGGATGGCTGCAAGATATGCAAGATATGCGAGGTATAAGAGATGTGATGATTGGAGTTGCTGTAGAGTCATGATGTTGCAGTGATCGGGATGGACTTAGTTATAGATCAAGTACAAGAGTAAGGGACTGTGTGTTGGGAGTGAATGACGATGATGAAGGTGAGGTGGAGGGAAAGAGAGAGAGGTGAGGAGAACAAACCGGGCAAACACAGATAACTCCGGCACTAACCGTCAAAATGTCCGGAGCTAGACCGAGGAAGGTTAGTGCCTGCGGACCTGGCCGTGGACAAGTGGCTGAGTCAGCCACTCTCTGCCCGCCAGCCAAAACATCCCCGCCTCGTATGTACACGGACTTATTCTCCTCATTGCCTTCAAGGTAGCATGCTACACAATGGACCCCATATCCGGCCATGGAGATAATTCTACCGTCATTCCATCGGCAAAAAAGAGAAAGCCGAGACCCAAACTCTCCTGTGTACCTTGCCGTCGGAAAAAGTGTGCCAGCCCCAGCCCTGCTGCCCCATCGGCTTCCCCACTGGACCCTCTCTTCTCTCTGACTCTCCATATCTCAGGTTGAAATGTAATCGCATCCATCCGTGCGACAACTGCATCAAACATCGCCGCACTGAGATGTGCCACTATGTGGGTCCCCAAGGAGTCTCGACCGGCGATTCTCATGACATCCAGTACTATATTCACAAACTTGAGGCCCGTGTGCAGCAGTTGTCGAAAGGGAACCCTTTACCTCAGGCACTACTACCACCACCACCACCACCACCACCACCACCACCACTACCACAGCTCTCCGCAGACATTGCTTGGACCCCGGACCCGCTGCCAGCAGAGCCGCGGCCACTGCCTCACTCAGCGGATCCCATTGCCGAACCGCAGGCCGAGTTCCCCGGGACTATTCTGATCGAGCGGGATGGTACCAGCTACCATAACCCAACTCACTGGCAAGCTGTGCTGGACGAGGTAAGCGATTTTGCTGTTGACGGTGCATTATCACTTTCACTGATTCGCTGCCAGATTGCCGAGGTCAAGGAGTTCCTTCAGATGCACGAGAATACTTCTCCCGAGGAGGTGGAAGAGGAGGATGCAGTCCCGGATGTTTCGGGCCCTGTACTACTATTCGGAAACTCCATCTCCTCGACCGTCTCTGAACTTCTGGCCGCTTTGCCTGCTCGATCCATGGCAGATAGGTTGATCTCGGCCTATTTGAACTCGAAAGAATCCCCTCTAGGTGAGTACCAATCAAAGCCTATTGTCGGATAGATGCTAACCCGTCCAAGTGCTTATACATACACCAACATTCACCCGCGAGGTAGGTCACTGCAGAATCTGTCCCACTCATACTCATCCATCTTAACCTGCGGCATAGTATACGGCTTTCTGGAAGAACCCCCAGGGCGCATCCATTAGTTGGCTAGCCTATCTTTACACCATTCTCAGTGCAGCTGCTGGACTGCATCTGTTCACTACAGCTGGCAGAGCGGATGGCCATTTTGCAGAAGCATTCGACGAGTATTTTCGCTTGTCCTCGCAATGTCTTACCATGGCGGAATATACGAGACCGGGACGATACAAATTGGAGACTCTCATATTGAGTATATGTTGCGAAATTCTCAGAAGCACCGACACCCACGTCGGACCATCCACCCTGCTGGGACTGGCCACTCGCTTGGCTATCCATAGCGGCTACCATCGCGATCCTAAACATTATCGCGGGATCTCACCGTTCGACGGTGAGATGCGACGTCGGGTTTGGATGTATCTCTGTCTTTTAGATCACTACATCTCGTGTCAGGATGGCCTTCCCCCCACCACCGCGCAGACGCAATCCGATACCCTGGAGCCGAGAAACTTAACAGATGATGACCTGGATCCTGCAGCCACGAGCTTACCTGCTTCCAGGCCTCCAACAGAGAAAACTCTGATTCTTTTCCCGGTCGCTCTCAACCGGGTGATGTTTGCGGGAGCAGACATCGCCCGCAAAGTCTGCTCCGTCAAAGGGGTTCCCTACCAAGAGGTGCTTGAGCTGGATGCAAAGCTGCGAGAACTCCACGCTACTATTCCACTACCTTTACGGTTTCGCCCACCGGGCGAGTCTATCGCAGACCCTCCCACCACGATTATGGACCGATACAATATTGATTTGATGTATCAGAAGGCTCGCTCAGACCTCCATCGGCGATATCTTACCCAGCATCGTCTAAATCCCAGATACGCATACTCGCGCCGGGAGTGCTTAGATGCGGCCAGAAGGGTCCTGCAACATCAGTCCGATATTTTCAACGAGAGTTCACCGGGCGGTCAGTTGAACTACGCGTCCTTCTTCTTCTCATCTTGTGTCATTATGCATTTTCGCACAGCGGCAATGATTGTCTCTTTGGAAATCTCCTGTCAATCAAGACATGACCTCCAGCGAAACCTGTCGCCCACTACAAGGCAGGCCATTCTGGTAGAACGACAAGCACTTTCCCTTGAGCTCGAGCGATCTTACAACATTTGGAACCGCCTGCGTCATCAATCGAAGGAAGCATTGAAAACTGCCGAAGCTTTGCATATAATGCTGAATGTGGCCAACACCCACTTACAACACGGCGCAACACCTGGCACGGATGATCCTTCGTTGGCTCCCGTAGATATTGGGGTGGCCAACGCCCTTGCTGAGCTCGACCTCATGCCTTCTCACTTCTCTTCGCCACCGAGTCAGAGTCAGAGTCCCCTGAATACCCCATTCGATGTCGACTTGATGGATGCTACGTTCTACTTCGGACAGGACGTCGGTACTCAACATGCGCAATTCAATGCTCCTACCGACGCTGCGGATTTCTTCGACCGCTACTGGGATAATCTGATGCTTCTCGGCGATGGCCAATCTCTTGGGGAGCTTCCGACCGATCCGAATACTAGTTTTGGGCCGAGTCAATTCTAGTGGCTGGAGATGGTTGTTTGCCGTCATGAGGTCGAGCTCTTGCTGGATGTTGGGCTTGTCTGACGGTAGGTTTGGCATGGCGTTTTGTTATGCTTTCTTCTAAGGCGTCGCACAATAACGACCATGAACAATTGCGACGAAACCATCCGAGAACCCAGCCATGCCCGACTTCTATGCTGTGGACAAGCCAATGCAAAACAAGCTCATACACCCAGACAGCAACATACAATATGTTCATTGCGAATTATCGACTTCTTTCTCTACGTAGAGCGACAAGATCATCGACTCTGGTGGGGATTTACTTGTCACTGCGTCAGCAAATATCCTGCGCTATCGTGCTATTCGTGATACTCATACCTAATAGTAATCTGGGGAATACGAGTGGGATCGAAGTCGCGAGGTGTCGAATCCGCTTCTTCCTTTCGGGATGGTCTCGGGCCTCCATTTCTTCTTCAACCGGTGGAACCAACTGTCTATGGTTCCGGCTTCATATTTCACGTCCAGAATATTCTGGCCGTGAGCGGTGCACCGAGCGTACTTATGCTTCTCCGGCTTATACCGGAGAAGGGTGATAGCGTTATGCCAAACGACCCCACAAGCGAAGGGACTGCCATAGGGAAGTGTGGCGAGCATGTGGTCAGAGTGGTAGTTGATCCGATCGTCCAGCACCGTACCGTCATGGTCCATATGGTCGCCGTCCCAACCACACTCGCCCAGCACGAGGGCCAGGAACTTGTGGTCGATGTCCTTCTCGGGAATCTGTAGGTGGACCGTGATTGAGTGAAAGGCGGCGCCGAGCCCGTCGCTGCTCAAGACGCTGCTGACCTCGTACCCCTCTTCTTTCGGGAACCAATGCTGCAGCCGCATGTGCCAGGCTAGGATCTCATCCGGAATAGACAGGACATTCGAAGCCATCGTGGGTTAACGAGATTTCGGGGTGGAGTATTCGTGTAAAATCGAGTAAACTCGGATAAATTGAGTCGGTCGAAGCTGATGATGCTAGACCCAATGCAAGATTGACATACGTGGCTGGGGATTAGGGCCTATTATATAGTCTGTTTGTCCATCTTTATGGGTGTATTCTGATGATTACTGGAAACCGACGCTGAGAATCCCCTTGTTCCTCTTTTTGGTTAAGAGACGAGCTTGTGAGCATGCGTTGCTATATACTTGCATTGAGAGGAGTCAGATGCTGTGGTTCTCCCTTCTCATCCTTGTATAGGTTTATCCTCTATACAAAAAAGATAATCAAAGTCAAATCATGGCCTTTGGCTGAGGCTTCGCGCATGACTTAAGATCTACAAAGCACTGCGGGAACATCAACTCACCCCGAGTTGGATTACTGTGTATGGCCCGCACCACGCACAAAGAAACAACAATGCCATTGTTATTCTTTGACTAGAATGCGGGAGGCATTTATAGTTGATTGTCTATCCACGATATCGACTTGGATCATAAATCGCAAGACAGACTGGACAGCTAGCTTGAGCCCATTAGGAACACCTCTATCCCCAGAGGATATTGAACTTGGACCACTTGCTCGTCTTGACAGGTTCATCCTCTAGATCATCTCGCATTTCCTGGAGCGCTTGCTGCAGGGGGATCTCACGTACGGGGACCAGCCTCGTCTTCTTCCAAAACTTGTATCCAAGATAGAATGCCAACACAAGGGGGATGTCCCTGCTACCGTTAGTTATGATATGCATATTCGCTCAAGCAACACACTCACAAATAAGAAGACACAAATGACGCGGGATCCCAGTTCCCCTTGGTGAACACAGTGAAACCACCGGTGAAGAGAATGATGATGCACGACACGAGGGCAAACCACGAGCTATAATCTGTCATCACCCGAAATGTGTCAGTCACAACTGCAAGCACACTCAATCGCATAGGGTTCCTTACATGACCACCAGTTATGCCATGGCAACTCCGCAGGTGCAATCCCCTGCGCCCGACATCCCTGGATCAAACGGATATGGTTCAACGCGATGGTGATCCAGGAGACTAGTACTCCCGCCGACGTGAGGTCCAGCAGCCAGTTGAAGACAGTATACGCGCCGTTTGAGCAGCTCAAGTACGCCAGACACGAGACGGCGATCTGCAGTGCGGCGCACATGTATGGTACGCCGTGACGCGTCGTTCGAAGGAAGACCTTGGGCGCGTGGCCCTTTAGCGCGAGGCCATATAGTGTGCGCGTGCCCGACAAGATGCTCTGGTTCGACGAAGACCAGGCAGACGTGAGAACGACCGCGTTGATGATCGATGGCACGACCTTGATGCCGGCGTCGGCTGCAGCAATGACGAAGGGGCTGGTAGCCGCCGTCCCGGAGTAGTCGTTCAAGCGGGGATCGGTGCTGGGAACCAGCATGCCCACGATCAAGACGGCAATAATATAGAAGATGGTAACGCGGGCAAAGACGCGCTTGCAGGCCCGCGGAATGTTGCGTCGCGGGTTCTGCATCTCGGCCGCGGCCATCGTCAGACTTTCTACCCCGGAAAAGCTATACACGGCTGTTGTCAGAACCGCCCAGAAGCCCAGGAAGCGTCCCCATGCACCAGAGGCGATGTATTCGGAGAAGGGACCGGGATCCTTCCAGTAATGAAATCCCAGACGAGGGGCGCCAGCCACGCCACCGAGGTCAATGACTAGCCCCATGATGACAATTCCAATGATGAGGAGAATCTTGAGAATGGCGAAGCAGAACTCGAGCTCACCGTAGACCCGGATGAAGAGTAGGGCGACAACGGCGGATAGGATAATTAGGATGGTCACCCAGATGGCCGTGTTCAGGTCCGTCCAGTACTGGATCAGCACGACGGCGGCCGAGATCTCACTGGGCACCGACATGAAGCAGCCATATACCACATTCCACCCGATCGCAAACCCCAGCCCGGGGTCGACCAAGAGTTCAACATGTCGTACAAACGATCCAGTCACGGGCATCAAGGCTGAGACTTCCCCCAGTGCGATCTGGATCGCACAGACAATTACACCAACCAGCATGTACCCGAGCAGGGCACCTAGTGGTCCTCCAGAGGCAATTGAGCTGCCCAGTCCAAGAAAGAGCCCAGTTCCCTATCGATTCCAAGTGAGAAGGTTGTTTCTTAGTTCTTGCCCCCGCAGGGGCTCTTCAAGGAGCATAGAAAAGCACTTACAATTGCACCGGCAATGGCAATCATCTGCGTATGCCGTTGTTCTAACCCGCGGCGGAGATTTTGCGCCTCTTCATCCTGAACAATCCGTTCCCCATCACCCCCCTTGCTCGTTTCCTCCGTCGGTGGTTGAAAGGAGATCTCTGGGCCTTTCGCCGGGCCGATCTCAGTTGCACTCATTTTTTTGCTCCTAAAGTGCGAGGACAAGAAGCCAAGTGAAAAGAAGGAGGGGTGCAATCGAGCTGCAGCTGAAGGGGGGCATTGCGCGGCCAGGCGAGCCAGGGCTAACTTACTATCTCTGGGATGTGGCCGGAATTAATTAATCCTAGGCTTGTGATTGGGCCTCCGGCCCGATTGTCTTAGTTGGTGCGAATGGCGACATCCGGGGGTGATTTTGACGGTGATCAATCAAGTCAGTCACGGTGAGGATAAGATAAGAACCCAGAAGTCAGGGATCCAGAGATCACGTGCGTGCATACTCCATCCCAGAAATCTAGACTTACTGTTAACATTACTCCAGTCTATTTAGATCAGTCATCATGTAATTCTGGCGACACACTGTTTTTCACCAGGGACCCATGACCAGCACAAGCAACATAGTAAGCCGGAGCCTAGTACCCATTCACCAAAGGACTCTTGTGGAGCCTTGAGGGTGAATGCCTCACTCTTCCCTGACCCATAGCAGTGACTGGGAAGTAACACATTTGGTTTGGTTTTGTATCTCTTCTTCTTTTCATCATCTTCTTTCATTCTCTCTGATCCTCCACATTGCACCTCTCTACTCATCCACCACCCGCTCTCTGAAAGACCTCCGGCCATGGCAATAATCGCCAACTACATCATTGATGAGACTGGCGAAGTCACGCTCGTCCTCCACGCAAAGCTGACTTCGTTGCCCACCCCTGACAATGCCTCCCCCGAGCTGGTGTCATCGACCGCGAATCTCGACCAGTCCCTCAAAGACATCGAAGCGCGCATCCAAGTCTCCGCCAAGCATCTCCGGCTCGCCTCGCCCGTGTTCGACCGGCAGCTGACCGGCAGCTTCAACGAGGCGCAGAATCTACAACGCACTGGAAAGGTGGACATCACAGTCGAAGGCTGGGACTTGGAGGCGTTGCTGATCCTGTTGCGCATCATCCACGGGCGCAACCACCGGGTGCCTCACTTCGTCCCACTGTCGCTCTGTGCTCGTATCGCCGTGTTGGTCGACTACTACGCCTGTCAGGAGGCTATGCAGGTGCATCTCCGCCTCTGGAAGTCGCATCTCGAGACCCAGATCCCTACCGGCTACAACGCGACCGAGACCCTCGAATGGATCTGGGTGTCGTACTTCTTTGATATGAGCCGGGTATTTGACCAGGTCACCCTCCTGGCAATCCGACATGGAGACGAACACATGGAGTCGACTGAATTCCCGGTGAAAGCGAGTATCATGGGTAAGTGGGCGATTCATGACACGCGTGTTTAAACCCCTAACACCCATATTGACATACTGACATGCGACCTACACCGCACCAGAAGCAATCAAGACCCACCGGGAGAAGTCCATCGAAAACGTGCTCAACCTCATCGCCCGATGGAGAGATGGGCTGCGCCAAGGCTTGTTCGGCTGCACCTTCGAATGTCGCTGCGACGATCTGGGGGCGCTAGAACAAAGTCTCTTCGCTGCCAACCTGTATAATCCTCCCACCACGCCGTTCACCGGTTGGAGTTTCGACTCCCTCTTCACCCACGTCAAGGCCTTCCTCAAGCCGTCCTCGCGCTGCAATCTTCTGAGCTATCTCAACCATGACAAATGCGATGCGATCCCGAAGATTGTTCAAGAGGTGGAGACTCTCAGCTCGGAGATGCAGGGGTTGGATCTGACTACCTACAAGTGAGAGGACAGAGATTCTATGAAGTTATTACCTGTCTTGACCTTTTGTCCTGCAATGCGACTTTCTGGAAGATAGATAGGGAACAGTTGCTGTTTCTAAGGCGTGAATTAGTGGATATAATACTGGATGTCGTGTTATCTGTGCTGCTGAAGGTTGAGCCTGGGTGTAATCGAAACTTATCACCGTAAAAGATATCCCCGAGACGGGGAGGAGATATGCCCTTAACCTTGAATCAAAGGAGCAGGACCGAAACCGGCATGTGATGGAAACCTAGCCCCTACCCTGAGCCCTGAGCCCTATGTCGGATTATGAACGGTCTGTTTGATCACGTGCATCGGCACTGGGCCGCTGGGGAAGTGCCGAGACGCCGCTGAGCAACACGACTTAGTCTAAGCCTGCGACAGTGCTCGCCACCTGCAGCAACGTACATCGAACCAATAGAAAGACCAACCCGATTCCATTTAGGACATTCTACGGGGCTGTTGAGTACACCAAAGCTTCAAGGTTGCCGTTCGCCCGGAGTCAGGGGCAAACTCGAGAGACTCGGTTCGATGTAGGCTCGAAGCTTGGGTACGAATGAGATTCGCTGTTTAGACTCCCGGATCTGCCTTTTCGCACGTACATCATCCCCAATTGACCAGCCTATCGAGGTGAAATCAGCTGTTGATCCACACTAGCAACCCCTCGCGCGGGGATATAGTTCCTTCCCCCAGACAGGCACCGCTCGAACGATAATTGCAATTGTAGATCCTGGCCCACAACTAATGGACGCATCCAATCGACGCCCCTTCCGCTCGAAGCACCTGGATGGATGCTCATTATTGAGAACACGGGGGAAGCTAGCTGTTCCCCGCATGAGGACCACGAGCTGAAGGCAGGTTCCCTGTCTGAGAGATCCGGAATCCTGAGCGAGAATGAAACGAACTCAAATCTCAAGGTTGACTTTCGAGTATAAGAGTCACAAGTCCTGACCCAAAGAATGCCTGTCTTGCAATCGATTTCTGTATGGGTGGACTTTTGCAAAGCGCTTCATCATCGCATAAGTCGGACATCATGCCTGAAACCTCAATTGATGACAGCGAGGTGCCTGAAAGGGTGGATACTCACACCTCGGCCTTGCACCACCTCGACAAGCAGCTCGCCGAATACGGACCGTTGGCTCATGTGCCCACTGCGGGAACATATCTGCCGGCGTTCGCAGGCGAGTTACAACCTGGGCTATACAAGCCAGTCAAAGAGCGCAAGATCGCGAACCCCGCCCCGCTAGGACTGGCTGGCTTTGCCCTGACCACCTTTGTCCTGGGATGTGTCAACATGCAGACGCGGGGGATCACCCAACCCAACATGGTGGTCCCGCTGGCTTTCGCTTATGGCGGCCTGGTGCAACTTCTCGCTGGAATGTGGTAGGTCTACGTCCATCCATTTACTAGGTGCCAGTCCTAACTCTATGGTGTCAGGGAGATGGCCGCCGGCAATACCTTTGGTGCGACGGCACTCTCCTCGTACGGGGGATTTTGGATCTCTCTGGCCATGATCTTCACCCCCGGAGGATTCAACATCGAAGGCCAGCTCAAGGCTGCGGATAATGGGTCTGCGGGCATGTTCTATGACTCTTTCGGGCTGTATTTGATGGTTCGTGCCCCTACTTAAACCCTTGGAAGCAAAATACAGCCGTCGAGTTGTTTGTTCTCTGTGTTATCTTGAAGCATCCTGCTTACTTGACCAACACTAGGGCTGGTTCATCTTCACCTTCTTACTCGTGACCTGCACAGTGAAGTCAACGGTCATATTCTTCTCCTTGTTTGCCGCTGTCGACATTGCCGTGCTCCTGTTGGCGGTCGGCTACCTTCATCGCCCCGGCGGCGCACCCTACACGCCTCTGCTCAAGGCGGGGGGGCTGTTTGCCCTCCTGGGGGCCTTCTTGGCGTGGTATATCTGTCTGGCGGGCATTGCCGACACGAGCAATAGCTTTTTCGTCATCCCCGTCTGGCACTTCCCTTGGTCGGAGAAGGGGAGGGAATCGAGGAGAAGAAAGCCTGAAACTGTCTGAGGTAGAGTCTTCCCCCAGCTCATGCGGGGACGGTAGGTCATTGTGTATAAACTCTTTCATTCACATTCACCGGCGATCGATGGATAAGCAGGCGACTAGCTCCGTACTTAGATAGGTAGATAAGCGAGATATATTGCCGCTGGGAACCGCCTGCCGCTTCCCCGCAAAACAAGGGAAACACGCAAGTCAATTCACAAAAAGAAAACAAAAACAAAGATTGCCAGGCCAGATAAGAAGAGAAATTTCATCCAATTAACCCAACTCTACGTCAAACTCGTAGCAAATCATCGCGTCCAATGTTGAGTGAGCAAGTCCCGGCGTCTCCGAGACATCTGCCACACGTATCTGTCTTTTCCGCGGAATACGACCACAGGCAGCGACGCGTAGCTCGATTAAGCCAAGCGACTGCAGCAGCTCAGCGCCATGCAGCTCGCCACCTTTACCCGGCAATTCGAGCCGACCCTGGTCCTAACTATAATTGGTCACTTAGTACATGACATCCCCGCATGCTGCATGAGCTGAGAGTGCTGAAAGTACTGGAGAAATGCAACGCAGACCCTGGCCCTCGAGATATATAAAGGGTGCAGTGCGGGGCCACACACAAAATATTGGATACCACAACTCACAGTACGGCCGTGCACTACTATGGGGTCCATCTACACTATGAAAGCGGTCGTTTACAATGGTCCTCACCGTCTGGCCATTGAAAACCGCCCTAAACCTTCGATTGAAGAGCCCACAGATGCCATTGTGAAGGTGACTTATACCACCATCTGCGGCACGGATCTCCACCTCCTCCAGAACGACATCCCATGCAAACCAGGTTGTATCCTCGGCCACGAGGGCGTCGGAGTGGTCGACTCGGTTGGACCAAGTGTGACTAACCTCCAAGTCGGGCAAACCGTCCTGATCTCCTGTATCACCTCCTGCGGACACTGTCGGTTTTGTCGGAAGGGTATGTCCTCTCAATGCACAACGGGGGGATGGATCCTGGGAAACCAGATCGATGGCACGCAGGCAGCATACGTCCGGATCCCGCATGCCTCCTTCTCCCTCCATCAGCTTCCCCCGGAAATTGACCCCAAGGCATATGTGATGTTGTCGGATGTGTTCCCTACTGCGTTTGAATGCGGCATCCTGAACGGCGATATCAAGCCGGGCGCACGAGTCGCCATTCTAGGCGCAGGACCAATTGCATTGACGGCCCTAATGATTCTAAAACAAGGTTATGGACTGTCTCGACAGGTTGTGATCATTGGTAGGGGCGAGTATCGGCTGGAGCGGGCAACAGAACTGGGCGCAGATCATGTCCTGACCACAATGGACGGTCGGGACAAAACCCTCGAGGCCTGTCGGAAGTTGACGGAGGGTGAGCTGTTCGACGTAGTGATCGAAGCCGCTGGAGCCAAGGAAACATTTGATCTGTCGCAGTATCTGGTCGCACCGGGTGGGACTATTGCGTCGCTGGGGGTACATGGAAGCAGTTGTGCCTTCCATCTGGAGCATTTGTGGCATCGCAATATTTGTCAGTGACTCCCAACACTCTGCTGAGTGAGATGTGAGCTAACAATGGATGCAGGCTTACGGACGAGTCTCGTGGATACGAGTACCACACCGGAATTACTGAAGATGGTCCAGGCCGGGATACTTGCCCCTGACGCATTCCTCTCCCACAGTAAGCTTCCTGCCATCTGAGATGTTTCTGAGATTGTGCAAAGCTAACCACTGTAGCATTTGAACTCGATGAGATAGAGCAAGCATACGAGGTATTTCGGGCGGCTTCGACGCACCGGAGCATGAAGGTTCTACTTACCTTGGGCTACACATGATAAAAGCGCAGTACAGTCATATTCTCAAATGACCGTGGTTCATTTTAGCTGCTATTCGGTGGATGGGTCTGGGCTGGGGTATTTGTCTAAGGTGTCCATGCTGCGGGCAACTGCTTACTGCTCACTCTCGTTCAGCGTTTCGTCATGTTAAACATCTATTGGTGATCACTGTTATGGACTGGGATTGCCCTCGTAAGCCATCATGTTCCCGTCATAAGACACCAATCACCCAACAAAAGTCTATGTATATAGTCATCTTTATATAACCCTATATACAACCTCACTTTCGACTCTACCTACTGTTCACTGTTTCCGTTGACACTTGCCATTACCCCCTCATCTCCTTCCCTCCAGAGAACCCTCAAGAGCCATTCCTTGACCCTCCACACCTCATCTTCCTCCTCTCTGATTACATCGACAAAGTAGAGTCCGCCCGCCAATAACCCCTTGGAAGAGGCATTGAGCCCCTCTCCCGGTCGATAGTGCTGCGCCAGAACGGTAGCGACCAAGCTAGCTGTCCCTTTCACCTCATCGAACTCGGTGACGCGGAGGTTGGACAGGTGGTGGGTAGTGTCTATCTTGGACACCGTGTCGTACACGTGTGTCTTGATAGCGTCGGCGCCCTCGAGAAGGCGACCGTTCAGGGTGAAGCGGGCGGCTTCGTGGATGGCAGAGGCGAAGAGGGCAGGGCTGGCGGTGTCGATTGAAATGAGAACGCGGTATATGGGGTCGATGATGGCGTCCTTGGTCTGTGGAGGGATCTTGGGAAGGGATGTGAAGATGTTAGGAATATTGGTTGTCATCTTCGATCTGTCATAGAGGAATTGGAGGATTGATGTTCTGTCTTAGAGTCATTCGCCGTAACTTTCAGCGTTAGAGGGAGCAGTAATAGAAGAGAGTACCTTGATGTGGTATTTGGCCAGTGGTCGATGGGTCCAGTGCGTGGACAATTGGCACGTTAAGTATTGCGCATATAAGATGTTGTGATGTTAGAGTCTTAATGACCTGTTGTATAGACCAGTTGCTTAAGCTTAAACCCGCGTTAACTCCGCCTCTCAGCTCACCCGGGCTCGGGGTTAACATTGTTCTCGGCACTAAGTCAATGCCATGGAGATAGCACTGGAAATAGTTTATGGCCGGAATGTGGCAAGTGAGAAATGGGAAAAATTGGGTGTTATCAGGTAAGAGCAAATCCTTACAGCTTAGCAATGTGGTCACGATATTACGCTAGAACACACAGTGGCATGATGGTAGAAGATGGATATTGTTCAAAGTAATATTCGCCTTGTCTGTGCCGTACAAATAGCATTCATAGAGCTTAGAGAGGCAGCAAGATACCATGAGGCCAATATTCAGAGAAGTATCCGAATGAGGTCTTCTGATCACCGAGCTGACATTCAAAAGTTTAGCCGCAAGGCTGGAGAGTATGACTTGAAATAGCACCAATTTAAGTAAGTTGGGCGTGAAGCCACTCAGAGTGCCATTGCAGAAAATAGAGTTTTTTTGGTAGTTTATTGGCCAGAGCTAGAGCTAAGGCTACCAAAGCTGCTGGGGCGTTGGGGTAAGAGAGCAGCTAGAATGCGTCTACTCATGAGAGTCTGTTTTAGTTGTAGATTTTATCAATTCTGTCGCAGAAGTTGAGTTCCAGTCCTGTAAAACAGAATTCTTGTCAATCTTTAGCGCCTCCAGCTGTGACTTACAACGAATGTCATATCACAAGAGAAGGAAAGCGGACTGTACAGCCTCGTCCTGAGAGAAGACACAAAATTGGGTTCTGAACATGCTATGCAAAGTATATTTTTGCGAGCCCGGATGTATCATGCCAAAGTTCTATCTCAAATCAAAGAACTTGAAAATCAATACTGGTAGGTTCGCCCTCGTTACAAGCGCTCACATCCATGGGGCAAGCACTCATCACGACGATACAATCCTGCTCTGCCCTGAGGGTGATAAAATCCCCGGCCTTGCTTCCCGGGATCAAACACGTCAACTTGTTCTTGTCGACAGCCACATTCATGAACAGGTTCAGAGGATCAGGCATCCAGCCATGCTCGAGGAACTCCACCAGGTACTGAAACGATGGATCGTCAATCTTCTTCACCGCTTTGAAGAGGTTATCCGCGCAATTATCATGTTCTATCGAGGCGCCGAGCTGTAGATAGCGCTCTGGGGAGCAGGCGGCATAAAGGACATCGTGAATTCCGGGAGACGCATCCTCCGTAACTGTCAGAATAGGATCTCGTCGGTTGTCGAGGAAAGATTCCTGCAGCGAAGGCAGAAACTTATGCAAGGTTGAACGAGTATGCGTCATGGACATATAGCGCGGGAAAGAGATAGTGGATGGAAGCGAGAAAGCCCAGAAGTCCACAACCTGGCCACCAGATGAGTTGATGACCTTGATTGATTGGCCGAAACGTAGTCGCTGGGTGGCAAAGCTTCGGGCAGGGACGGTCGGCATGGTTATCTCGCTGTCTTGAATCAGATTGGTGTATCAGAGAAGTAGATAGTTAGGTGGTGGGACAAGAGGAAAACGGTGACAGGGCATAGCATATTTATAAGCAGATACATTGGCGACTCGGGAAGGGTGGTTCATAGTACTAGCCTGGTGAATACTGAGGTACAGTACATACCACCTGGCAGGGCTTGGCATGCTTGATCTAGTACGCATTGTGGATGGTGGTGGAGTATTCAGGTTCTTGGCGGAAATGGTCTCTGGATTGGGTTAGAGTGTTTCATACCTAGTTCTTGGCGGAAATTCGATTCATTTTAGGTTAGCGTAGAATAACACCAGCTCCAGCAGTCTTAATCAGTGCTTACATTGAAGGTGTTCTACGCCCCCACAAGCATCTTTACCAATATTGCCAGAAAAAGGAGTGATAATGCAGTAACACTTGTCTGTGTCTTATTTTTTCTCCCTTGAAGAGACGGACCTTACATTAGATGATGCACTGATTCCTTGAGAAGTACAAAGTAAACCCTTCACGGATGACTCAGGAGGGGGGAATACCCCGCCCCCGTGACTGGCTCCGCAGTTGTGAATCCAATTCCACACCTTAGGTTGGTAACTTATCATGGATTTCATCATCCATCCAAGCTCCGCAAATAGCTTTCATCCCTCCTACTAGGTCACTGTGTTCCAGTCCTATTCCTCATGAAAAACAAAAGAAAAAAAAATGAAACCTCAAAGCATATCAGTTTGTCAAAATTGCCGGGACCGTAAGATCGGGGTACGCCACCACTTGCCATAGACCTCCGTGTTCTTCGCTCTCACCCAACTGACTAAACACTAGTGTGACGGGAAAGTCCCTGCTTGCACGCAGTGCCGCTGGTTCTTACAACCATGCCCGGGTTATCTGCGACAGATTGTATTCGTTCACCAAGCACCAGGTGACCCTAACCGCAACAACGACAATACCTCGCGGCCAAAGCGTCCACAGGATAACAACAGCCTGGCACAAGGGGTAGCGATCAACAAGACGGGGGATCTCATAAAGAATTCCACATATTTCAGATGGTCGACGGCGGAGGAGCTACTGGCGGTGGCTATTGACCATTTCATTCCCGCGTCTAACTTGCCGGTATCCATCTCGGAGTTGTATTCGTCGCAATCGCTGGTCTGCGCTTCCTGGTTAAGTGTGCTCCCCAATTTCATCAATGAAGAACGATCCGGATCTCTTACTATACAGGCTACTAGAGCCCTGGGACTTTCTATTATTTGCCGGGGCCAGAGAGGAGAGACCAAGCACTCCCACAATTCCCAGCGTCTCGAATATTACTGCTCTGCTATCCACCAACTCCAAAGCCAACTGCTCCTGAGCAATGAGTGCGGTAACGAGCAGACTGTTGCAGCCATTATGTCATTAACGCTTGCAGAGGTACGCTGACTTTCATTGCCAGGCCACTTGGCTCCTGTACGAAAGCTAATCCTGATTTTCTGTGTTCTTTACGAAGTTGATGATGCCAACCTCCCCGCAAGGCTGGAGATTTCATGTAAGGGCAGTGGCTGAGTTAGTACGAAAACTTGGCCCGGATCATTTTATTACTTCGACTGCTCACCGGCTGTTTGTTGGCTTCCGCCCTCTGATCGTATGCAGGAACTGAAAGGTCTCAGGAATTGGTACAGCAGGATAACATGAGTACAGTTGATCGAAGCCATCCTCTCACGCAGCCCTACCTTCTTGGGGCTACAGCAGTGGCAAAGTGTTCCATTTCAGAAGCACTTCCAATCTCCAATGCAGCGGCTTTTAGGCTATGCTGCCGTTCTCCCCTCACTGCTCCATCAAGCTGATGCCGCCAAGCTCATTCCCGCGCAGCAAGGGGTTGCTGAAGTACAAGCCGTTACACAGGCACTAACGAAATTACTCAAGGAACTTCGACAATGGGTGCTGTCGTATCAAAACTTATTTCGAGGACCTTTGTATTGGACCAAGCCAAAGGACCGAAAGTCGAGCTACGTCTCCTTATTACCATTGTGCTTCCCCAACGCCCTTGCAGCTACGGCTCTCATTCATTGCTGGACATTTCAGATCATCTGTCTCACGCAGCTTGATGAGATTGGGGTATTAAGCAAACATTCTCAACACTGTGGAGACTTCCATGACGTTTTCCCCCTTCGAATACCTAAAGACCCGGTGGATATCTGTGTCAAAATCTGCCAAAGTATGGACTATTTCTTAGAGGACAACATGAAAGTATACGGCCCTGCTGCAGCGATATTCCCGTTTCAGATTGCATACAGAACCTTGCTTCTGTATTCAGACCCGCAATCTGACCAGATCAAAACGTGCAACGTTGTGATTTCCTCCTTTCATCAGAAAGGCTTTGATGTTGGGAAATTGTCTTCGGATTTATCTTTCACTATACAGCAGCCACGAACCCAGCTTCGCGGAGACTGATAAGAGATGGATCTCAACGCCCCCTCAGCCAAAGAACTTTGATAGGCGCCATAACAAGCTGTCAGGTGACCTGTGTGTGGGTAGCAGCTCCCTTGGTAAAATATGTTTTTGCATTGTGTCCGAGTCAGACACTCGAATTTGGATACTGGGGTAGGTCAACAAGACCAGCACTTAGCAAATCCCTGCTGAAGTAAATGGAACCGGCCGCTTGTCAACCCAGCTTGGAAGGAAGGAGCAACTCGACGAGCAAGAGCTTGCACGAAAAGCGATGTCCATAACTACCCATCCTCTTTAGTATCGGCTCGATTAATTTGAACGTTCTGTTAGCCCATGCATACCTCAGGTGTCTATTTTGTTCTGGCTTTGGATCTCGCCACTACAATGAACGCACTGGAACACTCTACTGATGGATTAAGCAGTAATTCGAAGAAATTGGTAGGCTTCTATGGTTGGTATCCTTTAGACCGTGTGATGAAGTACTTATCTCCCGCAAGTGCACTGATAATGTCTTTGTCTGAGCTAAACGTCTCGCCGCTTTTCAGTTGCTTATGATTACACGAAGCAGGCTTTAGATCTACCGATCCTTTCACAATCAATGTCAAATCCCTATTGTGTGTTCTGCATTGCCATTTTATGTCTTACTATATAGTTAATGAGAGACCTCAACCCACCTTATATCTTGATCGCCACCTTTATCGATCGCGATTGGTAGTCAATAGTGGGGAAATGGTCTCTGCTCGCCTTCTACGTACAGTTGCCAGATAAGCTATACCTCGACTCAAGTATGCCACCTCTCTAGATGGTCAGTCCCTTAGTAGGCTCAACCGCACCTGCGAAAAGCTAAATAATACGTTATTGAAGAAATAGCCGAAGTCAAAACTGTTATAGACCGTGCGCTCTCACTTGCCAATGTAAACCATGATCCTCGGGCACTAAATGTTGATTTGAGGTGGGACAAGTGGCCTCAACGAGCAAACATTCTATATCAAAACGATATCAGGGAAGTTAGAGAGTTCTCAGAGGCTAGGGGTAGCCTAAAGCTCAAGTTCCATGGCCACTCCCCCATACTACACGTGGCCGTGACGCTGCGGAAAAAGGATATCGTCCTTCTCCTACTCGGGTGTGGTGCTCGTCTGGATGATTTTTCCAATGGGCGACACACAGCGCTAGACTGCCCACTCCGGGAGTATGATCCATGTGAAGACCAGCGTGTGATCGATATATCCTACTGAATTCTGGTCAGTAGCTATGATGATTTGTTGCGCGATCCCGAGACAATTGTAGTCCTATTAAACTGCCAGAACAGGCGTTAATCTCTACCATGGGCTGTGACCAGTGGTACTGATCTGATAAGAATGATTAGGACCTTGAAATGGCTGTTTAGCCTCCCTCTATGGTATAATAAATATACTTTTACTGATGAACAAGTGCGCGCTATTCTAGACCTCAAGCCTAAAATTCTTTGTCTAGTTACGAAGAAGACATACTTCTCGTTCCAGATATACAGGCCCAGTCTTACTCCATGCCTAGTTCAAAGAAGATGCTTTTCAGCCGAGGGCGTCCTTAGCACTCCAGAGGATTCGGTTGGTTTCTTACCTAGGCCTATATAGCTGAATGTACTCACTAAGTTTCCTTTCCATTATTAATATGCCATTATTCATCTAAGGTACAATTGATAGAACGTAGCTTGCTTCTATTTAGGGCTTGCAACGAAAATTTGTACTTAGTACTGGCGTATGTAGAACATGTTACTGCCGGGATCCTGAACATGCACAAGCTGGTAATTAAGAATGATGTAGATAGAAAATGCCTCAGCCTGCCGATATTCAGGAATTAGGGCTTTATACAAAAAGATTTCCAAGCTTGCAAAGAGAAATGTTTTGGTAACCTGCACTACAAACGCGAACTAAACCATCACATACAAAAACAAGAACATGGAGACATGTTGCAATCCTGAAATTCAACCAACTTTAAAACTTTTTCTTATACATTATGTTCTGTTTAGTCTCTTTAATCTTGTTGGTTTTTCAATATCTACCGAGATGACCCCAACCAGGTCCTCGAACACATTGTGTATGCGTTGATCTTATATTAATCAATTAACTGCTATTAAAGCTTCAAGTCCTTATGCCCTGCAAAGTACAGAAATCAGACCCAGCCCAGAGACTACCAACGGCCGATATAATTCCATATTTCGATAGGATAATTTTGTGATATGCTCTTCTGTTACTGGCAAGCATCTCTACTCCAAGCTACTCTCCGTTAGTACCTTACACTTTTGGTTGGTAATATATATAACCGTATATAGTAAGCTAACGCTAGGAGCCAGATCACATAACTTAAACATTGTCTTTAGTTCAGCCTGCAAATCTGCTAATCAGCTTCTCCCTTACCCCCGACCATATTCTTGTCAGCCTTAAACATTGCAGGTGCACTTTATTTATATTGTTCTATTTTTCTTGCTACATAGTATCAACAATGCGTCGCTTCGAACGGATTTATCATGTAGTAGAGCCCGTTGAAGAGTATTGCTCCGGGGGTATCATCTGGTGCACCTTGGCGACGTGTTCTATTAAAGATACAAAGTTATTGCAAGCTAGCTTTTGGCCAATACTTAACAGTCTGGCTTATAAAGAAGCAGCAAATGTAAATTCATCTCTTTAAAATGCAGTATTATTTCTAGAATAACAAGCTGGTATGTGATGCCTTAAAGGGACTTGCAGCATGTTGTGTTGAAAATATTAAAGTCAAAGGCGTCTAAAGACAACAGAGAGCTTTTCTCCCTTTTTACTCTGTCAGGTTTCCATACGGACCATGCTGGAAAGGGACATGTGGTTGAAATACTCGATTACTTCTCTTATACAGGTCTGAATAGAACGCAATTGTGTCTTGTTTTCCCAGCGATGATATCCGATGGGGAAGTAATAACGATCAGCGGAAACCCGCAAGGGGTAGGATGTATCCAGACTGTCTCTTGTCAGATCCTACTGGGGCTTGACTTCCTTCATCAGTCAGGCATCGTCCATTGTAGTATGTCAGAGCTCTTAGATAGTGGAAGCAGCTATCTAATTGTTAAACACAGATTTGCAACCAGCAAACATCCTATTTACAGTTGCCGGGTCCAATGACATGGAAGAGCTGTTGCAGCCTCCCGAGTTCAGTCCCGTCAGATGGTTACCAGGAGTGGCTGAAGACGACAGCGCCCCCAGATATCTAGTGCTTACGCAAAGGCGTCGAGGGCATTTCGATAATGCAGATTGCTCAACAATCGAGATTAGGATTGGGGATCTGGGTGGAGGTAAGATCTACCTATTCCTACATCTTGTGTGGTCAGCATTACTTAGACTTCGCGTAAACTATCAGCTCAATATATACGACACTGTGACCAGCAGCCAGTAACACCTCTAGGCTTGCGTGCAACCGAGCTGATAGGAAAAGATATTGATGGCACTACTATCGATAAAACCATACACATTTGGACCTTAGGTTGTGTGGTATGCTAGAATCTCTCTGTGAGACCAATCATCACTTTCTAACCCAGGTCTCAAGCTATTTAAACTTGCAACAAATGAGCCACTGTTTCCTCTGGATACATTCGGTCTTACACGCGAAGAGATAGACAGTGGCCACTGTTCTCTCATTACTCGAAGAGTCGGTTCGAACAGTCACGGGGATAGTAAATTGAGAAGATACCTGAGTAAAAGGCTGCCGAGTAACTTTGGTGCTGAGAGTGTGGAGAACTCGGCAGCATTCCTTTCACTCATGTTACAAAACAGCCCTCGGGACCGACTGCCGGCAAGAGACCTACTTCAGACACCGTTCGTATCATCTGCATCTCATTATTAAGATGTTTGGACGGCGGTCCTGCGGCCTCGCCCAGGTTGCCGCTCACCGCTCACCGCCCACAGTTCCGCGGATAGCCTCACATAGCAGAATCCACACATCATTCTTCTACCTCTCTCGCATCTCTCGCAGCTGTCATCAGTTCGAGGTAGATGTATCTAGATTACTCGTGTCGCAAAGTCCGAGCCATGATCGCCCAGCTGAACCGAATACACTCGAGAGCGTGTTTAAGCGAGTGGTGTGCGGCCTTGGCAGGTGCGAGTGTAGATCGCAATTTCTTGGGCCCCACCAGCCGATTGGTACCTAAACCCAATGACTTAATCTCCACTGCCTGCCCCCCTCAGACAAACCAGCAAAGCCATTTGTTTATTCAATCAAACCTTGATCCCAACCACGAGATTGTCCTGTTCTTTTAATATTCTACAACCCTGATCAATTCCCATCAACAACATGGTGGCTACAACTATAGTCCCCCCCAACGACCCTCAAAGCCCCCGCTGGCTCCTCGACCTCCAGGAGTGGAGGACAGTACCCTACACCGATATCCAGCAAGAGATTCTCGACGGGGAAGGTTATGGCATTGTCTCCTACACCTGGGGCTACATCGCCGACGATGGCAAACCCGCTTCCGATCCCCCTCAGGGTCTCCTATGGGACGTCCCCGCCGTCCAGGGCTGGACACTCGCCGAGGCACGACAGGTGATGCAGTCGGTCGGGACTCGGTATATTTGGTGGGACTGGATGTGTGTTCCCCAGAGCGGGGAGCGGATGAGACCGTGGGATGAGAAACTCGACTTGGGTAAGGTTCAGGGGGAGGAGATTGCAAAGCAGATGTAAGTTTGCTTTCCCCAGATAGGCTTGTTGATTCGTCATTTGCTTATTTGGGTAAGGCATATCTACAAACATGCGAAGAAAAGCATTGTTTGGCTCCACGCGACCCTTTGGGAGCGCGAGTCGCCGATCAAGGACTTGCTTCTCCTGTGCGTAAAGGACGAGGAGGACCGAGAGGAACAAGAGAATGAGAGGCCAGCTGAGCTGCAGAAACACACCAATAGCGTGATGAGTCTTCTGAAGCACGCGCACGAGACGGAGCGCTGGACACGCTCCGGTTGGACTTTGCAGGAAGGCGTACTGTTGCACGAAACGGAGCTCGTCGACCGCCGCGGATGTCGACTCCCCGGCAAGCACTTCTGGTACGGCGACCAGGCCACCGTCGGGGATCTTACTGTTCCGATTACTCGATTGGCGTGGGAGATTGCCATCGCCTACTTCATCAAGTCGCAGGGGTATGAGCCGGACGTCGGGTCGCCGATTCCCAAGCGCACGCATGCTTTCGCACGGTTGCCGGAACTGTGGTTGAGGCAGTCTGTGCAGAGACTCACAGCCTCCGGCTTCGTCGGGTACTGGCAAGACAGACCTCTGGACATCTTAGCAGGAAAGCGCGGGCGCACATTCGGCAAGATCCAGGACTCTTGCTGGGCCCTTGTTGGGGCGTTGGGTGTCGAGAACGTTGAGGTCACATATGCTGAGGACTTTGGCATGGACAAGGTCAAGCGGCGATTGCTGGTGGCGCTGTTCGAGAAACACACATGGGGGATGTTGGCACTGCCGTTTCCCGAGTCGATTCAGGACGTAAATACTGGTGTGGAACAGGCTTTTAGGTGGACCGACGTGGCTGATGGGGCTATGTTGCCGGTGCATGCGTTCTGCGTGGAGCAGAAACCCGCGGCTCCCGATCCCAACCTCCGGGAGCTGGAATTCCTCAAGCCCAGCTACACGAAGACGCACAATGTTCGCATCCACAGTTGTAGCCCGAGGAAAAGGATTACTCTGTACCGGGCTTCCATCGACGGGATGGCCTGTTTCCGGCACTATCGTCAAGATAAGGATGGGTTGAAGATTGTCTCGGAGATGGATAGGCCTTTTCTGGAGGATGACCTGCTCGCCACGGCGTGGTTTCTTCCCTTGCATCATGTGAACATGAAAGCCGGAGTTTTGGGGAGACGATGTCTTGCACTGCTGGGCTTGGGGGATAAGGACTCAATTAGGGACCGAGCTGAGGCAGGCTTTGGGGGTACTATTGATATTAGGAGCATTGGGTCGGAGCAGGTAGAGGTTGATGAGCTTCTGTTAACTCCACCTGTGCAGTAACTCGGTTCTCACAAGACTGCGTCGTTGCTGTCGAATCCTGAGGGGATTGCGTGCCCTCGCATGTTTTCCTACATGCCATGCTCCCCTATCATCTCAGTCAAAACGAACGTCTGAAATCGTAGTACGGATCAATTTTGTACACTGTGAATCTTCTCGCCCTTACAAGTACACTTTTGACCATGAGTAAAATATATTGGAAGTCTACTTCTAAGGTATAAACAAAAAGCCCGCTCAATCGAGACATGGACTTAAGCCTGCTGTTGAATAGCCGGGCCAATGGTGGCTTGCATGTACTCTGCGTTGTTGAAGACGTGCTTGTCGAGCAGTTGTTGGGTTTGCTGGTGTTGTTCGTGGAGTAGGTTGATTGCAGCGTTGTCTCCCATCCTGCACGAAGGACGATGAGGCCGGGCATGAACATGGGGTGCTGGCACCACTGTTTTAAGGCCACCCACGAACAGCATCCTTTCGACTCGGAAGCACCAGTTGACGGAGTGAAAGCGGATGCAGCATGTGAATGCCTGGACATGGTGTTGCCAACGGCCGTAGCAGTGGGCATTCGAAGGACGCGTGGTGATCTTTACCGTACCAAACTACAGCTTTCTGGAGTCCTAGTGCAAAGAACTTCAGGTAGTGCAGTGTCACAACTGCCCAGCGGCTGCGACAGGATCAGGCCAGACTGCTAACATAGTTCAAGGCGCAGGGGCCGGTTCAGGCCGTGGCTGAGAGAGGAGGGATGTTTTATGCAGATGAAAAGACCCATGATGGGGTCGAAACTCTGTTCTAGACATGATCACTGGCATAAGGACTTTGAATGCGTCAAAAGCTCGGACACAAAGTCAGATATCCCAATCATGTCTGCGACGACTGAGGCCGGGCCTATTTAGTCATGCGAGACCATATCGATCTCGATAATCCCAATATCTCTTCGAAAATAGGACTATATAGCCAATGAATCTCAGATCCGAAATGCTGCAGATACGAGGAGGAATTTCATTGGCGAACTGCTTTGTGGTACGCTGTGAGTATACCTGGTTTCACCCTGGGTGCCGATAAAAACTGTTTCTATGCTGATCATCTCGAGCTTCGCCTATGCGGTACTAGTCGCTCCATCGACCTGGTGTCGTAAGGTGTGGGGTGGGGTTCACTCGTGACGAGAGGTCGAGGAAGACCTGCCTGGCCGTCTAACTGAAAAAATCCTTGGCGGGTTCAACAATTGCCTTTGAAGAATAAGGAAGCGGTCTTCCGTCGGGTCTATCTTGGATTTCACTTCTATTGCTCGCCCACATCAACGGACTGCACCTCTGATGAAATAGTATACGAGTGATAGCCCAACGTTCCCTGTGTATGACTGTAGGCAGGTGCGGGCATGACCATATTAATTGATTGATTACGGCCCAGTACGCTGGCGATGTTACAGCTGATAGCCGAGGAAGCAACCCCCAATTGGTCCCGCATATGAGCAGAATGATTCAGCCACTCAACTCGGTGGCGAACCAAGTGGGTGGCTGCAGAAATCTAATCTAATCAGATGCAACATATGATCAGATAATTTAGAACACTCAGCTATCGCCCGCCCGCCAGCTTGGCGCCGAGAGGGCACCAATCAGGCAAGCAGATCCTACTACCCAAGGCAGCATAGCGACTGGCATGATAAAACTAATTACATGATTCTATCTTTCATCCAGCAATCTATCTGCCCTTCGATCCTGCAGACTTCTACCCGGAACAAACTTGATTCCGTTTTCAAGTGCGGGGTTACTTGACACTGTCAAGTGGCAGAGCCAAGATACAATTCTGCGCTTTTCCCGGCCCAGCCACGAATTTCTTTTCTTTTGTCGTGTTCATCACCCCCCAAACTCACACAAGATGGGAGACGACACAGCTCGCGTCGATGAGCTCAGCATCAATGGCGAAACGAAGGTGAGCGATACAACCGAGCCCGACCAAGCCGAGGCCGAAGCCCTGGACAAGGGTTTCCTGCAAGGCGATCATGAGCGAGCCATCCAAGGCGAACAGCGTTTCCATCGCTTGGGTTGGAAGCGTCTGACCATTGTGCTGATTGTACAATCCATTGCATTGGGTAGCCTGAGTCTGCCAGCTGCGTTCGAAACGCTGGGCATGGTGGCTGGCGTGTTCTTGACTCTCGGATTAGGGATTATCGCCATCTACGCCAGCTACATCATCGGGCTGGTCAAGCTCAAGTATCCACACTTGCCACATATCGTGGACTTTGGACGTCTACTCATGGGCAGCATTGGTGACAAAGTTCTGGGGGTCGCGTTCGTGGCTCTCCTAACTATGACCGTCGGTTCGCATTGCTTAACAGGGAAACTAGCCCTGGCGACTATCACAGGAAGTAACGTGTGCGCCCTCATGTTCAGCGTGGTGTCTGCTATCATCCTCTTTGTCTTTGCTGTGCCCCCTACCTTTGCGGATATCTCCATCCTGGGGTACATTGATTTCGCCTCCATCATCTTAGCCATTGGGGTTGTCATGATCGCCACGGGAATCCAACATTCCCACAACACGGCCGTTGCGTCAGCCGCGTGGTCGGCCTGGCCAAAGGAAGGCTTGACTCTTAGTGAGGCATTTGTTGCGATCTCGAATATCGCTTTCGCATACGCGTTTGCCGGGGCCCAGCCGACCTTTATGGACGAGATGCACACCCCTACCGATTTTACCAAGTCCATCACCACACTCGCCGTCACGCAAATGACCATCTACACCGTCACCGGGGCTTTGATCTATGCATTCGTGGGGCAAGGGGTCCAGTCCCCCGCACTGCTGTCCGCCAGCCCCCTGATTGCTAAGATCGCTTTTGGTGTTGCCCTGCCTGTCATCTACATTTCGGGCGCCATCAACGCCACCATCGCCGCCCGATTCATGCACGGCCGTATCTTCCAAGGTTCCACCGCGCGGTACATCAACACCCCAATGGGATGGGCAACGTGGCTCACAATCGTGGCCTGCATCAATGTGGTTGGTTGGGTTGTCGCCGAAGCCATCCCTTTCTTCTCCGAGCTTCTCTCTATTTGTGGCTGCTTGCTGGTCTCCGGCTTCTCCTTTTACCTCCCGCCCTTGATGTGGTTCTTTTTGCTCAAGGAAGGGGCCTGGTTTGATCGGCAAAACCTTCGCACCGCTATCCTGAATCTGATCGTCTTTGTGGTGGGAGTCACTATACTTGGTTGTGGGATGTATGCAAGTGTAACTGGAGTGGTAAGCCTGCCCTCCTTGTCAGAACCGGTATTGTGACCTGAGACTGATTCAACCTATTGTTAGATCGCCGCGTTCCAGACGGGATCGATCAATCGTCCGTTTTCATGTAGTGTCTAGCGCAGAGGACTCTCGGTCGCAGGAAACAATAACCCCTCTACAATAGATGCGGGTCAATGTACCTATCTCCCCATTCTCACCTCTCTCTTCCAGAATCTATATATAAAATACTTAGGTTTAGGTCTTAAAAAAGGTTGCTTAGAGAAAAATATAAAAAATATTAAAAAAAACTAGAAAGAAAAAGAAATAGAATAAGGCTAGGCTCAGCCTCCAAGATCTAAAATTTATAAAGTTATAAGACTTTTTAAAAACTTTAATTTTTTAATTAGGTAAAATCTTACATGTGTAAAATTTTGCCTAATTAGAAAAATTTTTTTTTATATCTCTTTTAAATAAGTTTTTTTTAAAAATCGGAGAAAGCCATCTAATAGATTAATATTTAAATATTATCTTTTATATAAAATAAAAAAAATTTGCTTTGAAATTAATAAAATATAACTTTTTAAAGTTTTAAGATTTTATTACTACTATTAGAAGTTATCTGTTTAGTAGGTAATCTTTTTACTGCCTATTTTTTATTTTTTTTTACTACTTTTATTAAAAATTATTTATTTAGTAGATAATCTTTTTACTGTCTATCTTTTATTTTTTTTTACTATTTTTATTAAAAGTTATCTGCTTAGTAGATAACTAATTTTTTTACTACCTATTTTTTATCTTTTTCTACTACTATTATTAAATTTAAATAGTTTTAGAAAAAACTTTTAAAAATTAAAATTATATATAAAAGTAATACTGTTTTATAGTAACTTTAATATTTTTTAACTTTTTCTCTACTAGACTTATATCTATTTTTAATATATAGATTTTTTTTACTTTTAAATTATATTAATTTATATATATAATATAATTTATATTATATATATAACTGTAGTTAGCTATTTTAAATAACTATACTTAGCTACTTTTTTTATATATCTTTTTATATATTTCTAAATTTAAGTTTATTTAAATTTATTTAAATATATTAAACTAAATTTATAGTTTTCTATACTAATCTCTTAGCAATCCTATAACTTAAAGTTTATTTAAATATCTAATTTAAATTAATTTAAGTTTATTTAAATTAGATTATATTTATAAACCTTTTCTACCAGTATTAATCTATAGCTTTTAGTATAAATTTATATAGTATACTATAATTTATTAATTATATAAATATATATATATATTAATATACTTATTTTTTTTTATAATACTATAAATATAAAAATTTAAATTACTTAATCTATATTAAAGATTATAAAAAAATTATATTTTTTTATATTTTTTTTTTTAAATATTAAAAGTAATTTTTTCTATTGCTCTAAAATTTTTTATTTTTTTATTTTTTATTTTATTAACTATTTTTTTTAGCTTTAAAAAGCAGTAAAAAGCTGTATATAGTTAATTTCTTTTATATAATGTTGCATGCCCAGCTTGCTAGAGTGAGACTGATGCAATATTATTCTGCCATTCTTTACTGCCCAAGCAGAAATATAGTTAGCTGTTAAGATAGCAAAGTAGAAGAAATTAATTAAGTATTTATTTTATAAATTATTATTTTTTTAAGTCTTTAATTGGTAATACTGGTAGTATATTCTAGTAACAATTCTCAGAACATTTAAAAGTTAGATAATTTAATAAATTATTAAAAAAATATTTTTAAATTAGTTTATTTATTTAGATAAGTACTTTATTAGTAGAATATTTATAGTACTACTAAATATTTTCCAGCCTTTTCCCAGCTACTTATTTTTCTGCTTATTAGAAGTTGTATTATTAATCTTTTTTTATTTTTTACTTATTAATTTTTTAATATTTTATATTTTTTAATACTATTATATATTGCTATTTTATAGAACCCAACTAATTAGTACTACTAATAGTATAGATAGTTTATATATAGATTATATAATTAATTATAATTTTGATTCTACTAATTATATAATTACCTTTTTAAAAGTTATATACAACTATACTCTTCTATATATTAATATATTTAAAAAATATTATTCTAACTGTATACTATATACTTTATTTTATTAAAACCAGTTATAGAAAGTTAAATATAGCTATAGATATTTTAACTGCAGCTTAAATAATTATAAGCTAATTACTATTAAAAGTCCAGAAGTTAAAAATTTACAGCTGCAGTAATTCTAAATCTAAATATATATATCCTATTAAATAAAATAATAAAAAAACTTTTAAAACAGTAATAAAAAAGTTTAAAAATATTATTTTACTGTTATTATTTTTTATTTTTTTTATTTTAACAACTACTTTTTTTGCCGAAGCAGAAGTAGATATTTTTTTATAAATAAATATTTTTTTTACTTTTTTAAAGTTAAAAACTCTACTACTTGCCAGTCTAAATATACCTAGTATATTTATTAAAATATCTATTTTTTTTATTTTTTTTTAAATTTAATATCCTAAACTAGTTTAATTTTTTAATAAGATTAAATTATTAAGTTTATTTTTATACAAAGTATTAATTAATTTACTAATAGTATTTATACAGTTACTAAGTTAATACTACAACTTTTTTATTTAAATCTTTAGCTGTAACTATATTAATAAAGGTACTTAGATAAATATTTAATACTTTAATATATTTATATAAATTAATTTTTTAAATAACTTTATTATTTTAAATAATAGTTCTATATAGATTATAGCTGAGCTAATAAATAATGCTTAAAAAGCACAGTTTTAAAAAATAATAGTATAAATAATAGCAGATATACTAAAAATATATAAGTAATATTATTAATAATATAAAGCTTAGTAGAATATAATATTATTTTTTTTTTCTACTACCGCCTCTATCAGCTCCAGTTTATAAAAATAAGAATAATAATAATAGTAATAATTAAGTATATAATAGATCTTAGAATAGTTTTTAAGTTATTAATAATATACAGTAGTATATATTAGATATTAGTTACTTTTTTTTAAATATACTATTTAATTAGAAATACTATAATCCAGTTAAGTATAATAAAAAAATATACTACTATACTACCCAGATATTCTACTAATAACTTTATATTATATTATTTATTAGAAATATTATAACTATAAATTAAAATATAGATATACTGTTCTACAGCAATACTATTATATAGTAGATATAATAAATTAATAAAATTTATTAAATTAGTTTAATTAATTTTAAAAATATTAATTACTGGATAGCTGTAATTAAGGCTTGCTAAAAAATTTTAAATAGTTAATTTTAAAAGCAACTTAACAACTACAGATATATAATATAAAATATTTATTTTAACTAATTTTTAACAGTATATATCTTTAAAATTACCAGTTTAGTAAAAATATATAGTATATTAAATAAATATAATATTATAATTAAAATATAGTATTATATTAACCCTAAACTTTATAAAAATATTAAAAAATCTAAATAAGATACTATATTTAAAGAATTTAGTAACAAGATAAATTTCTGCTTTACTATATAAAAAAATAAGTATAATTTAAGTATAAAAAATAAAATCTAAAAAAATTACTTTTATAAAAATATTTATAATTATTAGGATTATAATTACTATAACTAAGGCTCTAATAACTAGAACAGTATTTATTACTATTATAAATTTTATAAAATAGACTTATATAAATTCTTTAACTAAAATTATTATTAAAATAATTACTAAAATAACTGTTAAAATAGCTGCTGTAAAAATAAATATAATAACTATAATAATTATTATAATAATAATTATAAATATAATTATAATTATAATAACAACTATAAAAATTAATATAATAATTATAGATATAATTACCATTGCAGCTGCAACTGCTATAACTATAACTATTAAAACTATAATAAAAATAAATTTTAAAAAATATATTATAATAAAATTAATATTAATAGTAATAATAATTCTATTTATAGTAGATATTTTTAATATAGCTAGATAGACTATATATATAATAAAGCCCAGAATATTTAAAAATATAATAAAAATAAAGTCTATTACTTTAATAATTATTATAAAAATAAAAATATTTTTAATTATTATAAATACTATAATATATTTAACTTCTAATACTTAGACTATTTAATATTTTTTACCTTTAATAATATACTATATATATATATTATAAACTGCAAACCTTGTATATTTTATATAAATACAGATATTTTTATTATTAAGGCGGATAAATTTTTTAAAATACCAAAATCCAGCAAATTCTTTAAAAACTAGAGATATGCTATAGTAAAAATTTATATTAACAATAAAATAAATACTATATACTTAGATTTAGAATATATAATATTTATAATTAATAAGTACTGGTTTACTACTAATTTTTTTTTAAAGTAATAAATACTATTAAACTAGTATATATCTAAGATATTAAGTAAAAATTTAATAGTATAAGATATATTATAGTTTTTATTTTAATCTTTACTAAAGTTAACAACAAGTTAGCTTTTATTTGTATATATATAAATATATATTTAATCTAAAACTTAAAAGCCCATCTTTTTATTAGATATAATATTCTAAAACTATATAGATTTAAAATTAACTTTAATAGTTATTTTATTAAAATAGTATACTATTAAAAAGTAATTTTTTTTTAATAATTACTTTTAAGCCAGACTACTACCAAACGCGCCCAGTATTTATTAAGAAAAAAATTACTATTTTTATATATAGTAAAGTTGTACTCCTAATCTGTCTACTTAATTTAATAAAAAATTATAATTATATTTTTAAACTAAAGCAGTATACAGATATAATTTTTTTTATTTATATTATAAATATAAATTTTATAAATATAATAGCAACTAATCTATTTTTTTAGTTAATTACTATTAAGTACTATACTAGATTTAGTTATATTTCTAAATTTAATACTACTATAGTCTACTATACAACTTTTAAATTATAAAATTTACTTAAAAATCTAACTATAGTTTTACTAAAAATATAAAGTAAGCTTTAATTTAATATTAATTTTATAATAATAAAGAAATT